CGCAAGGTGTATTCACTGTGGGGAAGTTTCATGACTGCTAAGTACTGCCGCCGAGTTCACCCGGTGGCGAAATCTGTGCGAAGTTCCGACTCACACACTTGGAAGCGGATGCTCAGTGTCAGGAATGAGGTGGAGGCAGTCTTGGGATGGTGCCTGACTCACGGCGATGTTAACCTTTGGTGGGATAACTGGTCTGGACTTGGCCCATTAGGGCGCCTTTACCCCTTCCCGGGGGTTAGGTACTCTGGTGATTTGCTGTCTGACTTCATCCAGGATGGGGAATTGGACTTGTCGGCCTATGATGACCTTCTGCCGGCTGGGTTGGAGGCTGACATGTCCTGGTTGGGTCAAAGAGTGGCTGACATTCCTATTTGGCGGGTAGCTACAGACGGTTTGTTTTCTTTCTCTTCTGCAAAATCATTATTAAGACCTGAACCGGTGAATTCTGATCCTCTTTTGAGGGCATGTTGGCATAAGCACCTGCCCTTTAAGGTGTCCTTTCTCGTTTGGCGCGTATTACGGGGCCGTTTCCCACTGATGATGCCATAGCTAGATTTGGGCACCTTATTGTTTCCAGGTGCTGGGGGTTGCAGTAACCCTGCTAGGGAGACCATTTGTCACGCCCCACTTCTAGGACATGACCCGGCCGTATCGTTACGTGAAGACCTGTAACAATACGAAGCCTAACCATACATACCTCTCAGAATCTTCATAATAACACTTGAATATACAATAATTCCACAACCCAAAATGACAAAATATAATCGACTTATTCTTCCCAAAAACTCATCAAATCCACTATTAGATATTTACAATCAAGAGTAGTATGTCCAAAATGCATCACAAGCACCAAAGCCAAGCACAATGGTCTACCAAAAATACAAAGGGTCAAAGGGAAAGTCTAAATAAACAAAAATCCATGATAAGCTCCAAAACTAGGACTAAGTCTCCAAGTTTCAAAAGTCACCTTCGAGACCCTACCACTTGTGCTCGTGCTATTCACATGTCCTTACTACTCTGAAACATGAGAAAATAAAATACAAATAATGAGCTAATGCCCAGTAAGTGATACTCCTCTCAACCCCGGATCAAGTAACCCAGAAATAATACAAAAAGCTTTAGAGTAATAACTCGATGCAAAACACGATCTTTAAACTATATCGAAGTCATAATATACTCTCATCATACTATACACAAGTTCACAAAACAAGAAACTTTAGCTACATGGGCATCAACAATATTTCATAATACAATACTTTCAAAAGCACAAACCATTCCTTAACATATGACTCATTGGCAACCTACAACCACCATTATATTCTGTGACACATGCCATTATCGTTGTAATGGTCTAAAAAGACTCGACGATTCGGAATGAGTTAGGCTCGACGATTCAGAATGAGCAGGATGGAACGTTCCAACAAATAATTCAAAAGACTCGACGATTCGGAATGAGTCAAGCTCGACGATTCGGAATGAGCTTTTAGGAACGTTCCAAGCCAAACAAAACAAACAACAAAATGTAGGTTGCCTCATGAATTTGATCAAACACTCAAAATAGTTCTTATAATCAAATAGCCCGATGTAGCAAAAATCCTTTCCTTAAAATCACATAACAAAGTACATATTTCCAAAATAGATAATAAGTTTATCAAACTAAGAAATATGCAAGTTATAAACCATTCTCAAAATAATAATTTTCTTAGTACATGACTCTTTAAAAATCATAGAATAGTTTATTAAACCAAAGTAATTTTAAAGCAAATGAAATGGCTTAGTTGGAAGAACTCAAGTTAATATATATAAGCATGAGGTTAAGAGTTCAATTTTCTCTTTAAACAAATAATCCATTTTATAAGCATGTATATGTAATACATATAGAAAAATAAACATAAGGTATGCTAACAAGCAGAGTGGAACCCACGACCTACCACTGCCTATACAACAACCACAAGCCATTCTACCATCTCTACACTTAATAACAATTCCAGTCCAGATTAAATAAGTCCATAATTTATGTCCAGAAACACAGTTCACAACAATTCCAGTCCGGATTACATAGCAACGTTTCCAGTCCAAAAAAAACGCAGCTCAAACTTCAATATACAACTCGGAACACAAGCTTAATTTATAGTATAGGGTAAAAATAGTTTTGAGAGAAATAAACACTTACTTAAAACATCCAAATCTTAGCTATTTAGCTCGCCCAAATACTCCTTGTCAAAATCCCTAATATTTCCAAACATCAATCTTAGGGCTCCAAAGATAAACTCAACTCATAAAAAGTAAAAGATAGAGGTTAAACTCACCTAGAATACCCAATATCTTAGAGATCTAAGCTTGAAGAAGATGGAGATCCAAGCTTCAAGGTTTTTCCTTCCCCTATCTCTCTCTAATTAGCTCTCCTTGTCTTCTTTCAAATGAGATGCTTATCCAAGACTAAAGTGGTTCCTTAACCTTTAAGAGTAAAGAAGGGTAATTTGGTAATTTACCCAATATCATCTTTTAATAAGTTTTGACTTGTTGACCTCATTTAATAACATAGATATATCTTTATTTTTAAAGTAGTGGGTATTACACCATTGGTCACATCTTTTATGCGGGGGACACTACTAGGGCTGTATGGAGATTTTTTATGGGATCACTCGGCTTGAGATTCAGTCATCGGGGTCTACGGACGCTGTTGACTGGGTGGAAGCGGGTGGTTTCTCATAACCGTCTTGTTGCTTTTGTTATTTGCAGGCTGCCTTATCTCATCCTTTGGGAGTTATGGAAATACAGGAACGCATGCTTGCATGGCAGAGGACCACCGAGTGTGCCTCGAGTGGTGTATGGCGTTGCCAAAGGGGTGGCAGAGTGCCTCTTTAGGCGGTGGCCAAGGGAGCACATTTTGCCGCCAAACTGGTCTGTCATCGTATCCTACATAGATTCTACTGTCTCGCGAAGTGTGGTTCGTGCTATTAGATGGGACCCCCCTCCGGAGGGCTCTATGAAGCTCAATCTCTCATACTCTGAGTTTGTGGGTGGGGCTGCTGCTTTGGTTCGTAATCGGGGTGGTGGTTTCTGCTACAGCTTCGCAATTCCGGCAGTGGACGGGTTCTGGGATGTATGCCGTGTTATCTTCCGCTGTCTTGAATGGTGTTTGGCAGGGGGTTTTAGGTCTGTGGTCCTGGAGTCTGTATTGCCGGAGCTTAAGGGTTATGTTGACCCCTCCGTCCCAATTCTATGGGTTTTTGACTCTGTAGTGTCACGCCTCCGCTTTCTTTGCTCCTGTGCATCGGTCTCTGTTCTTTAGTGTTTGAAACAGGGTAATCTCCCTGGGGCCGCATTGGCAGATTGGGTTGGGGATAAGGATGGGGAGTTTATTTTCCTGAACTTGTTTGATTTACCTCCGGAGGTGCGTGCGTTGCTTGTTCATGATGATATCCCATCGGTGGTCTTTGACGATTATGACCCACCTTGAACTGTTGCTCTTTTTCTTGATGTTTTGCTTTTGATGAAAATGTACAAAATTGAAAAAAGATGAGAAAAAAGGAAAGAAAATCAAAGAAGGGAAAAGAGGAATGAAAAAAGGAAAAAAAAAAAAAAAAACACAAAAAGGAAATTGGGGTGAGGAAAGAATGAAAAAAAAAAAAGGAAAAAAAAAAAGAGATGAAAAAAGAAAGAGAAAAGGAAAAAAGGAAAGAAGGGAATGAAGGAAAACTACTCTATTTGGAGGCAATGATGGCTTGGCTTTTTGTCGGGCCTAGCCTCAACAACGCAGGTGTCAGCGGTACAAGAGGCACCCTAGTCCGGGCTAAACGGTGGCCGGGCAGGATATATCAAATTCGTTGACCTAGTCAGGCTTGCTACTGGCCAAAAGTAGCCGAGTCCCTTCTGGGCTCCGGGTGGGGCGAGATATATGACGGGGGTTGCCTTTGTTCGCGTCAGCCTGTTATTCCCTTATACACTGCCTTTCAAATCATGATTTTGTGCTGTATTGGATTACGAAATGTGGCATTTGCTTGTCCTGTCACGTTTCCATTTTGCAGGTCTTCTTTGGCTTTTAAGGTATTGTTGGTCTTAGGCTTATTTGGTTTCGCCCTTGTGGGTTTCTTAAAATAGACCACGCCTCAACGTTGATGCAGCGGTAAGAAATTGCATCCTAGCCCGGGCTGAACGGTGGCCGGGTAGGGGTTTATCAAATCTGTTGGCGGTAGTCCAGGCTTGCTGCTGGCCCATAGTAGCTAATCCCGTTAGGGTTCTGGTTACTGATCGTTGCTGGTGCCGTTGGGGAGGATCGTTGCTATTGGTTGGCATGTGTTTGTTTGACCTGCGTGCTTGTATATTTTTTGGCCTGCGAGCCGCTTTTTTATTCGCTTGTTTATCCTTTCTTATATCGTTAGCGGAGCTGTTTTAGGCCTGTGTGCCCGTCTTGTGGTGCCTTGTGCGGATAAGTTGGGCAGCTGTTGTTGTAGATTTCTGTCCCTGTGAGATAGCCTTGCAGCAGTCGTTACGCTGCTGGATATCTTACAATATGGCCTAACGTGGTCAGCCAATAGCTCTAGACGAGACGTGGACGTGAAGCGATGCAGCCGTGTTGGCGCTGTTGCATCGTTGCATTGTGGTGCAGAGTCGCGGCATTGCAACTTTGTGGTGGTGCGACATGGTGGCACGCAGGTACAGACTATTATCATAGAAACAACTGGTGTGCTGCTGAATTTTGCAAAAATTGGTGACGCCGATAGGGGGATTCTGCGTCTCTATCTCAACATCCTCTTTTATTTATTTATTCTCTTCACTTATTATTCTTTTGAACTGGCCTATGGGCTTGGGTTCATTAAGGCCTGGTCTGTTAGGGCTTGAGTCCATTCCTTATTTAGATTCTTTAGATTATTATAGGCCCAAAAGGGCTCAGTATGTTTTATGGTCACTTTTGGACCATCAATTGTAAGACATTCTATTTCCGTTGTTTAATAAAAAAAAATGCTTTTACCAAAAAAAAAAAAAAAAAAAAAAAAAAAAAAAAACTCCCAAATATATATATGCTGCAACATTATCTATCTTCTGTTCTATTGTGCCTTCTCCTACTCCGTTCTCCAAACTACATGCACTTCCAATACTTGTGCGATCTAATCATTGTTGAGACCTCAAAATATACTCAGCTTCCCGTGGGCCTTACAATGGAACTTTTTGTAGTTCCGCAAGATCTTATAACAATATCCCTGTGGCACCTTAGCAGGAAAGAAACTCTCAAGTGCCTGCAAAAAACAAGCATTTCAAATCCACTTATAAAGGAGGATGGTTGATGAAACTGATAACAAATTATGAAGGACGACACAAATTCAAAAGTAAGAACCTGTAAGCTATACTATACTCCCCAACTTCCGATCCTCATCAATTCTCAGATGCAGTAATACAGTAGTTGATCGATTAGTATTGGAAGTGTATCAGCCAAGTGGGAACCAAAATGCATGGCCGCCAAGTCTAAACTCCCAATGCGAAAACCCAAGAGTTAAACTTTGAGAGCTTTAAAATAAAGTAATAAGATGAGTAGAGGTTGTGGATGCTTACTTGGAGCTTGCTGAGTTTAGTTCATGCCACCAAAACCTGTTTGATCACAAATACAGTACACCACAAACATTACTCTGTTCCTCAGAATAATATGAGCTATGGAGGGGATCGCATCGTCCCCAATCACGGGAAAATCAACTCCCTAAAGACTAATTATGATGCTTAAATCTCAAAAAACCTGACAGGTATATTTTGATTTTGGGTGAACAGGTTTCCATTTTTTCCATGGATGTTGGTGTTGTTCCAGTCTACCTTGATTATGCATTCCTCAATCTCCCACTCAAGACCTGAAGACCCTCAAAAGGGACAATTGACCTCCAATTCAGATGCCTCCACATGCAGCTTACTCAAATGGACAGAGAGGCCAGAGTTCTGAGGTACAGAGAGAAGAAGAAGAAGAAGAAGACCTGCAAGTTTGAGAAGACAATCAGGTACGCCTCAAGAAAGGCCTGGGCAAGAATAAAAGGCTGATTTGCGAAGAGAACAGATGTAGATACCAAGGGGGATCAGATATTGTATGCACCATTGATGGCAGAAAATGGATACGGAATTGTTCCATCATTCTGAATCCAAAGACAGACACTCTTTGTTTGAATTACCTGCAATATATGAATATTCATTTAGTGACCTTTAAAATCACCATACCAATGAAAAGTAAAATATGTTTATAAACTCAAAAACATGAAGAAAAAAAAAAAAGAAAAAGAGAAAGGCTAGGAAAAAGAAAGATTGACTATGGAAACTTTTTCCTCACAAAAGGATCAGAATTGAGGCAGAAGTAATGGAATAAGTAAAAAGGCAAACTGATAACGACCTTAGGTAAGCACTCAAAAGCCATGTACGACTTTTTAATCATATAAAATTCATACAAATTTAGTCACTCTACTATTAAAGAGGCTGAATATAACTAATGAAACACAATCTACTTTTACCAATAAACAGCAAATTCAGAGATTCTAGTTTGATAAAATAAGGACAAAAACAAAGATAGCATTTTGCAAATTAAGCAAGATAACAAATTTAAACAAAACAAATCAAAACTCATTGTTAATTCAAGGAAAGAGAACGAATTAAGATCGGAAATAGCCCCAAACCTGAGAAAGAAAAGATGTGGTGTTTCTTTGAGTCAAAATAATTATATTGGCTGAAGAAACAGCAGCTAAGGCCCCAATCCCTTGAAAGATATATAGAAGTCATTTTGTCCAAACGCTTCTTTTGCGTCTGCTTCTTCTTCTGTTTGCACCTATATATCCATACAAACAAAGCAAATTAAATAAAATAAATTAAAAGCTGGCCTCTAAACCAACAAAATAAATAATATAACACAATATAATAATGATATTAATATAACGATCCAAGCTGAGGTTCCATTACATACATACATACATACCCCAAATTAAAGGTATTGGAAAATTGCAGTATTCAAGCCGGCCCAGTTGAAGCACCATGCAAAATCTAGATAATAATAATAATATAATATAATACTACGTATAAACACACCAAATTAAAACATAACTAACTAACCTTGAACCGTATGTACTATCTTCCTTCATCCCAACAAAAACACTTTAGGAGAAACTCCCGAAAATGCTGCTCCAACCATAATTCTGCTCTTCTTCTTCTACACTACTACTTGTTGAAGAATCATCATTTTTTGTTGTTCCATCATCTTCAATTTCAATTTCTACGAAGCCTTTTGTTGATGGAAAGAAACGCACTTCTCCATCCGAGTTTCTATGTATTTCAAATAAACAAAGCAGCATCTTCTTCTGCAGAGGATGGAAATGAGCATACACCTCCAATACTTCTCCAATCCTTGTTCCCACCTCAAATTAAATTTCCTCATACTTTTTAAACTTAATATATTTCTGAGGTTCCTGCTTTACGATCCAAGCACCACTGCTTTTGCTTCTCACACTAACACCAACTCCATCAAACTCCTCATTACCATTATAATCACTGTTAATGATCTCAAAGTCTGCATGCCTCAAAAGTATTGGAATAATGCAACGTACATAACCTCTGCCAACATAAAGCGAAATCTGGACAGTATTACCTTCAGAACGTGCCTACATTATTATTATTATTATTATTATTATTATTATTATTATTATTATATAACCAAATTAGACAAAGATGAGGGAGGGGAACATAACTTAACTAACCTGGAACCAATTTTCAACCGAAGGAATGCTCAAACCGCTGCAATTTGTTATATCAACAAATTCAAGACTCTCCCATCTTGGAAGCTCAACCAAACTTTTGCAATTGGGAATTACCAACTCTTTCAGTCTTTTCAAGTTTTCTATTTTTTCCAATGACACACAATTTTTTGCAAAGAGACGCTCCAAACTAAGAGGAAGTTGTAGCAAAGCTCTTAGATTTTTCCAATCATTCAATATGAGACTTTTCAAATTAGAAAGTTGAGAAAGGCTGAAGGGTAGGCTTTGAAGATGAGAGCCACACCCCCATAAATCTAAATATTCCAATGAGGTAAAACTTCCAACAGCGATTATTTGTAGGCATTCTTGCAAATAGTTATAAGGGATAGTTAGAGCTTTGTGCTGTGCTATCGTAAGCTTTCGTAAGGATTCAAGACTCTCTAAGCCTGAAAGCTCAACCAAACTTTTGCAGTGTACAATATACAAACTTTCAAGTCTTCTTAAGTTGGATATATCTGTAATTTTTTCTAATGACTCACAATCATGTGCACTAAGATCCTCCAAACTAGGTGGAAGTCTTAAAAGTCCTCTAAGATTTTGCAAATTCCCGAGGTCGAGATTTCTCAAATTGGAGAGATGACAAAGGTCCAACGATAGGCTTTCAAGAAACCAAATTCCTGATAACACTAAACATGTCAATGAGGTCAAACTCCCAAGAGCAATTGGAAGATTTACTTGCTGCTGTGATTTGTTCAAACTCACAATCAGAGTTTCCAATGAGCATAAATTTGCAGCTGAAGATGGAAAAAAATCAACAGCTACTGAACCCACAGGCTCTCCCAGAAATAGGTCCTCCAGATTTCTCAAACATCCCAATGAAATGGGTAAATGTGAGATACCAGTTTTTATAGCATTTAGTATTCTTAGCTGCTCTAATTTTCCAATCTCAATTGGAAGCTCCCTCAGATTCTTGCAACCACGTAAAACTAACTGCTCAAGAGATTTTAACTTGCAAATGCTACTTGGAAGCCCCTCCAATTTCTCGCAACCCCAAAAATGTAACTCAACAAGCCTTTCCAAACTTCCAATTGATGAGTGCACATTCGCCAAGTTTGAACAACCTCCGAAGGATATTTCCTGAAGACTTTCTGCTCCAGTAAAGTCTGGTGTACTCTTAAGTTGTTCACAATCATCGAGCTTTAACATCCTCAAGCATACAAAATGCTGTTAAAATAAAATAAAGAGGTTTTAATGCATTGCTATTTTTTAGTCAAAGTTCTTTGCAAATATACACTGTTAAACTAATCAAGTATTAGACATACTAACCTGCATATTCGGTTGAAATTCTTCGATATTGCTTTTGCTCAAGTCTAACTCAACAAGTTTCGCACAATGAAAATCCGATTGTATGTGACTCAAACGGCAATTACGCAATCTTAAAAGCCTAAGCTCATTGGACAAAAATTTAAAAGATCCTCTAAGAAGAACACCATCTAAAATGAGTATTCGCAAATTTACCATCTTTGTGAATACTTCCGTACTCAAAGGCACATTCTTAAACATGTTAGAGTTTACGATCACCCCTTCAATTGCTTTTGTGCCCTAAAAAGTGTTTGATGTAGCAATATGTTAGATACTGTAAAATCTTTCATATTTTTAATAAAACTAAGTATTACAAGCAAATGAACTAGATTATAATAACTCAAGTACAAAGGGAATGTTTTACCTTGTTGCCTTGTAGAACATCAAAAACATCATTTGGGTCCACCAATCTACTTCGTTCGCCAAGATTTCTTGGAGATTCCTTTCGAACAATTTCTCTTCCCATATCCTGTACTAAATCATGCATCTCAAGCATTTTAAATCCATTTATTGTTAACAAACATCTTTCTATCAAACTTCTGATTCCACTTTCAGCATGAAAACCACAAGCTTCCAATATCATAACAGTGTTTTTTTTGCCATGCCCAACAAAAAAACAAACAATATCAAGAAAGATGTTTTTAGTATCACCATCAAGTGCATCATAACTTAATTCAAGAATTGTTTGAATATCGTCATGAGGATTCCTTCTTAATTTCTCAACATCTTCGATTCACTCTTGCACCAATCGTCCACGCAAATGAGAACCTATAATCGTAAGTGCTAATGGAAGTCCCCCAGTATAACTTGCTATCGTTTTGGATATTTCAGTATACTCCTCTAATGTTGTAGGAACACCAAAAACATGGCAACTTAAGAGTTGCAAAGAATCATCAATGCTTAATGTTTTAACCTTGTACTTCTCTTGTGTTCCAAGCTCACTCAACAAGTGAACATCTCTAGTTGTTATTATAATTGTACTACCTGAACCAAACCAATTTCGCTGACCTGCTAATGAGTCTAATTGACTTATGTGGTCTATGTCATCAAGCACAATAAGAACCCTTTTGGATTGCAGCCTTGCTTTGATCAAACTTATTCCTTCATCAACATTATCAATTTCAAAGTTCTTTCGTTTGAGTGTTTTGTGAAGAAGTTTCTCTTGTAAACCAACTAGACCACTGTGTCGTCCCTTATTAGAAACTTCTTGTCTAATATTTGCAACAAAGCAACTACCTTCAAACCCTTGAAAACTCATGATCAAGTGATTGTATATGGCTTTAGCAAGGGTTGATTTTCCGACACCACCCATACCAAAAATTCCCATCATCCGAACACCATCATTTGTTTGCATTTGTAATAAATGAAGTACATCTCCAACAAGAGAATCAATTCCAACGGGATGCTTTGCAACATTCATGGGCATAAAATTCAACACTCGTAGCACTTCTTCAGTAATAATCTCAATGAATTTTGACTCATACCTAATCAGATTTAAATTTATTGCATTAATCTGTCTATATATTGATTTAAAAAACAAAACAAAAAAAAAAAAAGGTGAAAAACACAATTAAGAAACCAAATTGAAAACACGACAGCAGACATTAATTAAAACACTATTCTACCAATTAAATCGTAGACTACGACCAATTAATAATCCATCGCAATAATAATTTAAAAATGTGTTCTCTTTCTTGACTAAAAGGTTAAGCTAATAGTTGAATTAGCAACAAGTGGACCATAATTTATTTTTATTGTTGGATAATATGGTGATTTGAGTCATGGCTTTTTACATGGGTTGGTTCTAATACCAAATTGAATGATATTTTCAGTTTAAATTAAAAAGTTAAGCTAATAATAACATTAAAAAGTTGAGCTAATAATTGAATTACATGTTTATATTTATTTGTTATATATGATGCATGCATACTTATAGGCTAAAAGTGTGAAAGAATTTTCCATCTTTAAAATATTGAACTGTATATCAATAATTCAATACAGATTAGATCCATGGGTACAAATTAAAATTCAACATAAATTAGATTTTCAAATACAGATTATGTTAAGAATCTAGTAAATTATATTTTGCAGACAAAATTTACTAAGAGATTTTTAAATATTTTCTATTAATTAAATATTGTTACCAACAAATACAATTCGCACTACAAAAAATTGTTCATTAGTTAGAGGTAAAACCATCACTAAAAAAATAAAAAACCATCATAAAAGACTTTTAATGACGGAAAATTTACCGTTACCACCCGTCGTTATTTCTTCCGAGGATAAAAACAAATAGTGACGGGATATGATACCATCATTAATAAGCATATAGTGATGGTGTATTTACCGTCACTAAAACGTTCTTTTGTGACAAAAAATTCCATCACTAATACAACTACTCATTAGAAAATACGATCGTCAATTACTATAAGTTCAAAAAGTTTAATACTTTTTTTTTTATATAATCAATCATAAATTAATACTGAAAATTTGTGAGGGGTGTAATTGTTTAGAACACTAATACCTAATCAGGCACTTCTTGTTGAGAAAAAGCTTGAATCCATTATGACCACAATTTCAAAGTACAGAATTTCGGAACAATTTTACACAATAAAATGTAGATATCACTATCTCTCTCTATTAAAACCTCACTTTAATATTTCTCCTAACTCCTAAGTGAAATTCTCTCTTCTCGGGTCTTAGTACATAAGATAGGGATCGGAATTGAATGCATTTCTTTCCTTGTTGGTTGGATATCTTTATATAACCTTACAAGAGATCCTTTATCTTTAGTCCGCATAAGAATGTGATTTCTTAATTAACGGGAACTTATATTCTCACTTTATCTTGGTCTTTGATTCTTCCAGTTTGACCGAGATTAAAATTTATATTTTTGTCAATAATTTAAGACAACAAAATTAGTCAACAATTACTACTTTTAAAAATTAATTAAAAAGCACAGTTAGAAGATTCAAATTTTTCTCTTTCAATTATTTTTAAAATTTTTCTTTAAAAAAATTACCATAAATATGAATTTACTATATGAGTAAGTGTGTCAGCAGGCAAATATAATCAAATAAAAGGAAATCAAAAGAGTTAGGATTACCCATTTGGCATGGTTTGCAAATCCCATCCAGACAAGTTAGCAGCTATAGTGAGTGCATCTTTCCACTCATTGACTTTTTGATCCCCAAATCGGTGTTTGTGTAGAGTTAATGCATCACCAAAGGTGCTTGTATGTTTACGAACCTCTGAAGGATCAACATGGTAAAATATGGGATAAACAATCTGATTCAACTTTTGTTTACACTCCATGATCTTCACAAGCTCATTCAGACACCATCTGGATCCGGCATAGTCTTTGGAGAATACGATGATGGATATCATTGACTCTTCTATGGCTCTAGATAGCTCAACAGAAATATCCTCGCCTCTCCGGATTGATTCATCATCCCGGAAGATGTTAACCCCAGCTCGCTTCAAATCTGCATAGAGATGATCAGAAAAGGATCCTCGCGTCTCACCCCTAAAACTCAAGAAAACATCATATGTCATGCGAGCATACGATGGAGAAGATGATGATGCCATACTCGATTGAAATCTGAGTATACTATCTGTCTGGATTTTGTATCAGCTTGCCTTTGGAGCTATGAAGTAAAGATTTGTGTTAAAGAACTTTGAAAACGCGTGTATAGTAGCAGATCAGCAGCGATTACTTAATTGGTCTTCTTAATAATTTCCCACTACACCGTACCAACCCAATAATTCTACATAATAATGCATCCTTTTTCTAGACCCCACCTATTTACCATCAATCATGTTAAGTGCTCATGCTTTTTTCCTTGTGCTCAGTTGAGTTACCATGATTTACATCTTTACATCCTGCTTTGTCGGGTTGGGATTCAACCTTTTGGAAGAATGAATATAAATTAATTTTAAAATTTACATAATTCAAATAGTTATGTAATATGAATTATTTTTATTCAAATTTTTATATAATACCATGTAGTAAAAATGTAAAACTAAATTACTTTTTTTTAAAAAAAAATAAATAAAATAAAAAATCTACTATAATATACAACATATTGTCATTATCACAATGTCACCTAGCTTCCAACAAAATTAACATAGTGGAGAGTGGGGCTAGTACTAAAAACTTTTCAACATAAAGCAATTAATTAAAAGCAATGATGAAGAATGTGGCTAGACCTTTTTGTTTTTTTGTTTTTTTTTTTTTTTGAGCAACAGAACCTTTTTGCCGGTGAATAGCCCAGTGATAAGCAAAACCTCTTAAGGTCATACATCAAACCTAATTTGGATTTTACAGGCATAGTATCAAGAGAAAGAAAAATCTTCGGAGAGGCGGCGGCAAAGCCCTCCTCCGCCAGTGCATCTGCCACCTGATTAGCCTCCCGAAAGACGTGTCGGATTGAGGACCCCCAATCCGAGAGGCAAGAGCGAATGTAAAGCACAACTTCCCTTATCCTCCGCGGGATCATCACTCCCGGAGAGGACACAAACCTGACTAGCGTGAGAGAATCCGCCTCAACCTCTAGAGGCCGCATGACAACTGTATCACGCCATCGAATGACACACTGCAATGCAAGTGCTTCTGCTTCCAATACTAATGATGCTTCGAGGCGATAGCATAAGCCTACAACCAGTTGAAGTGGAGCTTTGCCGAGCAAGCGTCCTGAATTGATGATAGACAGCGAACCCCCAAACCGCCTTCATCCGTGCATGGGCAGACAAACGTTCCTCCACATCACCCGAGCAAGCGTCCTGAATTGATGATAGACAGCGAACCCCCAAACCGCGTTTATGTTTGTGTTCGTTTGTTAAGGTTTTTGAAAATCATGTTCGTGTTCGTTTGTTAAGCGTTCGTTAGTGTTTGTTAACGTTCGCGAACATGTTCACGAACGTGTTCGTTAACATTAACGAACACGTTCACGAACATGTTCGTTCATGTTCATACACACGTCCGTGAATGCTTAATAACCAAATATATGAACATGTTCATGGTCACAATTTGTTCGTGAACAAGAAATAATATATGTTCATGAAAAATAACCAAACAAGTAACACAACTACAAAGAGAATACAAACAAACATTAAATGAACACAAACGAGCTTGTTCACGAACATTATGAAACGAACACTAAACGAGTTTATTCGCGAACATTATTAAATGAACACAAATGAGCTTGTTCACGATCTCTTAGCAAACGAACTTACAACTGTTCATACTCTGTTCGTTTATAAACCGAGCTCTAAATTTTGTTTGTTAATGTTCGTTTATCTTAATAAACGAACATAAACGAACGCTTACCGAACACGTACACGAGTAGTTTAACGAAAGCTCTGTTTGCTAACACCACTTCTATCCTATCACTAAGGAAGGAGGTATGTCAAAGATTCTCATTTTGAAGACATGCCTAGCTCTCTTCTTTTGTGGGGGTTTTCATCCAAAGGAACCAAGAACAGATAGAATTGTTGATGCCACCGCACCAAGAAAGAAGCAGGGAAAATTATAAATTAATTTTAAATATTAAAAATAACAAAAAAAAAAAATTAAAAGAAAAATGGTTAAATAGACCTCTTAAACTTTATGTAAAAAAATATAATTAGACCTCTGAATTTTAATAAGTTACAACTAAACACATTAACTTGTTGACTTATTTAATTAAATCAAATAATAGTCGATTACCTAAAGGTAACTAGTAAAATGTAGATGTAATAAATCAATTAATTTTTTTAACAAAATGACAAAAAAGCTGACCATGACTTCCCCATCAGATTGGATGAAGAAAGTCTGTTGACACCTTAGCAAGAAAGAAACTCTCAAGTGCCTGAAAAAATCCAAGCATTTCAAATCATAAAGAAGGAAGGTTGATGAAACTGATAAACAAATTATGAAGAACACAAATTCAAAAAATAAGAACCTGTAAGCACTAATACAGTAGTTGATCGATTAGTATTGGAAGTGTATCAGCCAAGTGGGAACCAAAATGCACGGCCGCCAAGTCTAAACTCCCACTGCGATCGAAAACCCAAGAGTTTAACTTTGAGACCTTTAAAATAAACTAATAACATCAGTAGAGGTTGTGAATGCTTACTTGGAGCTTGTTGAGTTTAGTTCATGCCACGAAAACCTGTTTGATGACGAGTACAGTACAACACAAATCAGCAGCAGCATTACAATATTCTATGGAGGGGATCGCATCGCCCCCAATCACCCGAAAAATCAACTCAATTATACACAGGGACTGCAACAGCATAACCACTGCAAGGAATGGAATATGAGAATTTTAACACTGGATATGGTTATCCACCATCCATCGCATATCCAATTGTCTCACTTAACGTAAGACTTTTTTTTTTTTTTTTTTTTGTTCATAAGGAATTTAAGATATCAATATATTCCAATAAAACCGAACGTGGAATGAAACCTTGCTGAACGTTGCTCTTTTTGAATGAAACACGGTGTTCATCAATAGCTGCTCTCTGGTCCTTGGAATGAAACCATAGTTACGTGGATAAACAACAAATGAGTAGAGAATTCGATCAATCTAATCTAATCTAATCACATAAAATTTATAAATTAAAGCTGGAGACAATACTATTAAATTAAACAGGCTGAATATATAACTAATGAAACACAATCTATTTTTACCCATAAACAACAAATTCAGAGATTCCAGTTTGATAAAATAAGGACAAAAACAAAGATAGCATTTTGCAAACTAAGCAAGATAACAAATTTAAACAAAACAAATCAAAACCCATTTTTAATTCAAGGAATAATGAAAGAGAACGAATTTAGATCGGAAACAGCCCCAAACCTGAGAAATATCTGCAAGTAAAGATGCAGTGTTTCTTTGAGTCAAAAGAATTGGCTGAAGAAACCAATCCCTTGAACGATATATAGCAGCCATTTCGTCCAAAAGCTTCTTCTGCTTCTGCTTCTTCTTCTGTTTGTACCTAGGAAAATACTACATGTACGTACTCCCATTTTGTAATCCCAACTTATACTCCAACTTATCAGAATCCGCCACATCAGGTAAAATTTAGGGAGTAAGATTGGGGAGTACATGTAGTAGAACTCTTCTACCTATATATCCACACAAACAAAACAAATAAAATAAATTAAAAGCTGCACGTTTTGGACATGATCACTATATTAATTAATTTTAAGCATGCATATATAAAAACAAGATAAATAGGATCAAATACTATACGAACCCGTAAAATCATCTATCAGACACAAAGTGCAGTATTCAAACCGGCTGGCCAGTTGAAGCAGCAAAATCTAGAAACTATATATATATATATCATCTTATGAGCTATCATGCCTACATTACATTATGGAATTAATATAACATACATACAGTTAATATCTATTCTAAGTATTATTACAACCTAAGCTAACTACCTACTATAATAATAATAATATGAATTAACACACCAAAATAAATCATCTGATCTATCATATCAGAGACAAAGTGCAGTGATACAGACTAAGTAACTAACCTTGAACCATATGCATGTCACTTTTCAATATAATTGAAGGAATGGAATCCCCAAACAAAACTAGCTAGCTGCCAGTAGTCAGATCAGAGGATGGTAATCTGATCTGCATCCACTCTCATCCCGGCCAACAAAAACACTTAAGGAGAAACTCGGGAATAATGCTGCTGCAAAATCTTCTTCTCCAACCATAATTCTTCTGCTCTTCTTCTTCTACACTACTTCTACTTGTTGAAGAATCATCACTTTCTTGTATCGCCATTATTCTAATTTCATTTTCTGTTGTTCCATCATCATCATCATCATCATCAATTTCAATTTCTACGAAGCCTCTTGTGGATGGAAAGAAACGAACTTCTCCATCTGAGTTTCTATGTATTTCAAATAAACAAAGCAGCAGCATCTTCTTCTGTAGAGGTGGATGGAAATGAGCATACACCTCCAATACTTCTCCAATCCCCCTAATTGTTCCCACATCTATTTCAATTCTTTCATACTTTTTAAACTTAATATATTTCTGAGGTTCCTTTACGATCCAAGCACCAGTGGTTATGCTTCTCACTCTAACACCAACTCCATCAAACTCCTCGTTACCATAAAAACAACTATTAAAGATGTTAATGGGTGTATGCCCCAAAAGTTTTGGAATATACCAATGTACAGAATATTCCCGGACTTGAAGCAAAATCTGGACAGTATTACCTTCAGAACGTGCCTACATCATTATACAATCAAATATCAAAACCATTACCATCAATCAGACAAAATGAGGGAAAGGAACATAACTTAACTAACCTGGAACCAATTTTGAACTGAAGGAATCCTCAAACCACTGCAATTTGTTATCTCAACAGATTCAAGACTCTCCCATCTTGGAAGCTCAACCAAACTTTTGCAATTGGAAATATACAACCCACTCAGTCTTTTCAAGTTTTCTATTTTTTCCAATGACACACAATTATTTGCTGAGAAATACTCCAAACTAAGAGGAAGTTGTAGCAATGCTCTTAGATTTTTCCAATCATCCAATTTGAGACGTTTCAAATTAAAAAGATGAGAAAGGCTGAAGGGTAGGCTTTGAAGATGATAACCACACCCCGATAAATCTAAAGATTCCAATGAGGTCAAACTTCCAAGAGCAATTTGTAGGCATTCATGCAAATAATTATAAGGGATAGTCAGAGCTTTGCCATGTGCTATCATAAGAACTCGTAAGGATTCAAGACTCTCTAAGCCTGAAGGCTCAACCAAACTTTGGCATTCCATAATAGTCAACCATTCAAGTCCTCTCAAGTTTGATATATCTACTATTTTTTCTAAGGACTCACAATGTATTGCACTAAGACACTCCAAACTAGGTGGAAGTTTTAAAAGTGATCTAAGATTTTGCAAATGTAAGAAAGTGAGCGATTTCAAATTGGAGAGATGGCAAAGGTCCAACGATAGGCTTTCAAGATACCAAATTCTTGATAACTCTAAATGTGTTAATGAGGTCAAACTCCCAAGAGCAATTGGAAGATTTACTAGCTGCGATTTGTTGAATTTCGCAGTCAGAAATTCCAATGGGCATAAACTCGGAACTGGAGATGGAAAAAAATCAAGAACTACACCAACAGGGTTTCCCAGGTCTAGGGACTCCAGATTTGTCAAACATCCCAAAGAAATGGGTAAATGTGAGATACTAGTATTTAAAGCATCTAATCTTCTTAGTTGCTCTAATTTTCCAATGTCAATTGGAAGCTCCCTCAGGTTTTCACAATAATCTAAATCTAAAACTTCAAGTGATTTTAACTTGCAAATGCTACTTGGAAGCACCTTCAATTTCTTGCATCTCGACAAATTTAACCCAACAAGCCTTTCCAAATTTCCAATTGATGGGTGCACATTCGCCAAATTTGAACAATGAAAGAAGGATATTTCCTGAAGACTTTGTGCCCCAGTAAAGTCTGGTGTACTCTTAAGTTGTTCACAATAATTGAGATTTAACATCCTCAAGCATACAAAATTCTGTTAAAATAAAATAGAGAGGTTTTAATGCATTTCTATTTTTTAGTTGAAGTTCTTAGAAAATATGCAATGTTAAAATAATTAAGTATTAGACATACTTCTTTTAAAAAAAAAAAAAGTATTAGACATACTAACCTGCATATTGGGTTGAAATTCTTCGATATTGCTATTGCTTACGTCTAACTCAACAAGTTTCGCAAAATGAAAATCCAATTGTATGTGACTCAAACAGCAATTACCCAACCTTAAAAGTCTAAGCTCATTGGACAAATATTTAAAAGATCCTCTAAGAAGCAGACCATCTAATATGAGTATTCGCAAATTTACCATCCTTGTGAATACTTCCATACTCAAAGGCACATTCTTTAACATGTTAGAGTTTACGATCATCCCTTCAATTGCTTTTGTTCCCTAAAAAAGTGTTTGATGTAGCAATATGTTAGGTACTCTAAAATCTTTCATAATTTTAATGAAACTAAGTATTACAAGCAAATGAACTAGATTAATAACTCAAGTAAAAAGGAAATGTTTTACCTTGTTGCCTTGTAGAACATCAAAAACAACATTTGGGTCCACCAATCTACTTTGTTTGCCAGGATTTCTTGGAGATTCCTTTCGAACAATTTCTCTTCCCATATCCCGTACTAAATCATGCATCTCAACTTTTTTAAATCCTATATCTCCATCTATTGTTAACAAACATCTTTCTATCAAACTTCTGATTCCACTTTCAACATGAAAACCACAAGCTTCCAGTATCATAGTCGTGCCTTTTTTTTCATGCCCAACAAAAAAACAAGCAATATCAAGAAAGATGTTTTTAGTATCACCATCAAGTGCATCATAGCTTATTTCAAGAATTCTTTGAATATCGTCATGAGGATTCCTTCTTAATTTCTCAATATCTTCAATCCACTCTTGCACCGATCTTCCACGCAAATGAGAGCCTATAACTGTAAGTGCTAATGGAAGTCCCCCAGTATACCTTGCTATCATTTTGGATAGTTTAGTATACTCCTGTAATGCTATAGGAACACCAAAAGCATGCCAACTTAAGAGTTTCAAAGAATCATCAATGCTTAATGTTTTAACCTTGTACTTCTCTTGTATTCCAAGCTCACTCAACAAGTGAACATCTCTAGTTGTTATTATAATTGTACTACCTGTACCAAACCAATTTCGTTGACCTGCTAATGATTCTAATTGACTTATGTGGTCTATGTCATCAAGAACAATAAGAACCCTTTTGGATTGCAGCCTTGCTTTGATCAAACTTATTCCTTCATCAACATTATCAATTTCAAAATCCTTTCTCTTTGAGTATTTTGTGAAGAAGTTTCTCTTGTAAACTAATTAGACCATTGTGTCCCTTATTAGAAACTTCTTGTCTAATATTTGCAACAAAGCAACTACCTTCAAACCCTTGAAAACTCATGATCAAGTGATTGTATATAGCTTTAGCAAGGGTTGATTTCCCAACACCACCCATGCCAAAAATTCCAATCATCCGAACACCATCATTTATTTGAGTTTGTAATAAATCAAGTACTACTCTAACATGAGAATCAATTCCAACAGGATGCTTTGCAACATTCATGGGCATAAAATTCAACACTCGTAGCACTTCTTTAGTAATCACCTCAATGAACTTTGACTCATACCTGATCAAATTTTAAATTTATTGCATAAAATAATCTTTGTCTATACATTGATTTAAAAAAAAAAATACAAGGAAAGCGTAAAACTCAAAATCTATACTATTAATAAAAACAAAATCCTTCATTTTAACTTCCCGCCCAAAACAGTCATACACTATTAAGGTTTGCATAATATTGTAAAATAGTATAATACAATTCCTAATATGATTTTTTTTTTGAAGGTTCCTAATATGATATATTTTTCCTACTTTCTTATTTCATACTACAATTCTACATTAAAATTCATATTCGTAATACAATACAACAATATTAAAATTCATATTCCTATTTAACAATATTATGCTGTCTCTACTCCAATTCGTATGAGATAGAATGAGTTTAATATTAAATAGATTACACAATATAATATTTAAACAACTAATATACTAAAATTAATGAGTTTAATTAAGAAATTAATTGCACAGATAATTATTATGTTAATTAACATAATAATTACACAAACATTAGTATAATTACAATTAAACAGGGGTCATTGATTTATCTTTTTTATAATTACAACTAGTATTTTCACCTGTGCGTTGCACAGAATGAATTTGTTATAATATTTTAAGAATATTTTGATCGATATACATTTGTATATATTGTAACATTGAATATTATATAGTAAAATTTTGCGTAATAACGTAATTTTATAAGAAATAATGACTTATTAATTATTATGTAATTTTATAAGGAAATAATCGATCCAGCCCATTTCATCAATTGCACAATATAATAATTATTGTTATAATTCATATAATTGTATGTTGTTTCAAATATTCTTAAAATATTATAACAAATCAATGTGCAACGCACGGGTGAAAATACTAGGATTTTAAGAATATTTGAATCAGTATACAATTATATAAATTATAACATTAAATATTATATTGTGCAATCTATTTAATATTAAAAATACAACAATATTCAAATTCCTATTGATAAGAGTCTAAATGTTGATAATTTCACCTTGCATTTAAGCTTATTTTCCTTGTTATTTGTTATAATTTTGCCTAAAGTGTCCCTCATTTGATTCATTTGTGTGTTTATGTGTAATTCTTGATGATTTAGATGAATTGAATGATTTTTGGGGCATTTCGAATGCATGTAGAGTCAATGGGAGCCAATGAGAAGCTATGAAGATGAGGGCAACACCTCTTGGAGAGTCAAATTGTGATGTGTTTAGTGGTCTTGGTCATTTGGACAAACAAAGTCAAAAGTGGAGCAAAAGAGCAAGAAAGTTGAAATTCCCACACAAATCGTCCAATGCTCATTATTTTGGCCATATCTCTGCGTAGAAATGTCCAAATTAAGTGATGTTTATGTCATTGGAAAGCTAACTTGAAGGGATACAACCTTGATGAAGATCACAAATGCTAATTCAAAGGTTTTGGGGTGAAAAATAGCCTAGAAGTGAAAGCAGGTGCACAGAATTTCTCCCTACAAGTAGCCACGGGATTGGCCACGCCTGTGGCCGTTCCAGTGGCCACATTCTTGTGGAGACTGATTTCTGGCCACGGGATCAGCCACGCCCGTGGCCAGTGTTCTTTACTTGTATTTAACTTCATTTTCATTCATTTCAACATGGTTCAGACCGGTTTAGAACCCTAACTTCTCTCTTTCATTTTCTTTTATATTTTTAGGTTAGATTAGACTTATATTTAGGTCTTAAATATTCTGGAAGCTTGGATTGAAGAATTTAATCTTGAATTTCAAAGATTTCATATCCATTTTCAATAGATAAGTTTTTTTTTTTTTTTTTTTTGGGAAATTCAATAGATAAGTTTTTCTTCTCTTTATTTCATTCCTTTGCAATTTACTTTCTTGTTTTATTGCTTTGATCTTATATCTTGTGTTTGTTATGGATTTCCTTGTTGATTATGAATATTGTGAAATTTGAGACTTGACCTTGATGTTGTTGATTGACATGATTATTTGAGTCTCGATTAGGGAGTGACAACCTAGTCTAGGCTCAAGGGGTTGATCAACCATACTTCACCTTTGAGAAAATGAGAGTGTGTGATGTTATGAACACCAAGTGTTTGATGAAATGCCTCTTAGACATTCATGAGTGATGAGAATGTCTTTGAATATTCTAGGAGTGTGGGATGACCTTGAGAAAGGCTTCCCTATCGTTATATGACATCTATCATCTTTTGGCCTCCAATTTGGTTTAACTATCTTGACCTACCTTTAGTTCCTATCTACCTCCAATTTCTTATCATTGGTATTCATTAAAGTGTGTTTTTGATATTGTGTTTATATCCATATCTCCCCTTTGTTTTGGCTAGATTACCATGAGGAGCATTAGTAACTTATGCTTGGAACCCTAAAGCTCTACTCCTATTGCCAATCCTTGTGAGAACGATATCCGGTGTAAGGATACCCTCTTACACATCCACTCACCCAAAAGACTACTTCATCACCTATTCATAGTTTTCCGTCACAACTCAATATTGAACCAATGACATTTAGTTTACTTCAATCTATTATTTGACTTTGTTATTTGTTTTTCATTATTTATAAATAAACTAATTTTTTTTCCTTTTAAGAGTTGATGTTATCGGATTCAGATAAAAAAACAGTTTGCTCTGGTGGAGTTTGAGAAGTTGCTATCTTTGTGGGGGAAGAGCCTAAAGGACTTTCCAAAAATCCCAATTCTAGACAAAACTAGCATGGGTTTGAATGAAAACATGTTGACAGCCGAAGAGTTGACGTATAACAATGAATCGTTGAAGACATAGCATGAAACATTGGTAATACAATTGACTGACAAGCAAAAGAATGTTTACGACTCTGTGATGGACGATATTGATTCCAATGGAGGTGGATTGTTCTTTGTGTATGGTTACATAGGAACATGTAAGATGTTCGTGTGGAGAACATTATCATCAAAGATAAGGAGTTGCAGTAATATTGTTCTGAATGTTACTTCCAATGCAATAACATATTTGCTCTTGTTGGGAGGTAGGACGACGCATTCCATATTTGCTATACCACTCTCTTTGAACAAAGATTCCACATGCAATATATTGCAAGACAGTGACCTTGCTGAGCTTATAATAAGGAGCAAATTGATAATAGGGATGAAGCACTGATGACGCACAAACACTGTTTTGAGGATTTGGACAAAACCACAAGGGATCTATTGAGGTTCTCCATACGGCTGGGTAATGCTGAAAAGCTAGACTTTTGGTAGAAAGACAGTAGTTTTGGACAGCGATTTTAGACAAATCCTATATGTTATTCCGAAAGCAACAAGACCAGTAGTTGTCGGAGCAACTATTAATTCTTCATACCTGTGGACAAAATACAAGGTATTAAAGCTCACCAAAAACTTGAGACTATGGACCTTATCTTTAGAGAAAGATAGATAGACAGTTGATTGGTTTTCAAAATGGATTGCAGACATCAGAGATGAGATTGTAGGGGTTGTAAACATCGGTTCATTTGAGATCGATATTTCGGCATGATTTTTTGTTGAAGTGTGGACACGATCCCGTAGCAACTATAGTGGAAAGTACCTTCACAAGCTCGATATATGGCATGCTTGATGAGTCACAGCTACAAGACCGAGCGATCTTCTCGTCGACTTTAGATGTCATTGATCAAATTAATCAGTACATGTGCGACATGAATACTGCAAAAAAACGAACATATTTAAGTTGTGACTCTTTGTGTAAGGTAGAATCAAACAGTGAAAATCTATCATAAGTGCACACTCCTGAATTCGTAAATAGTTTAAGATTTTCGAGTCTTCTTAATCACTCATTGACATTAAAGATCGGTGCACCTATTACGTTATTGCGGAACAATGACCACTCTCTTGGTCTTTGTAACGAGAGGCGGCTCATCATCACAAGATTGGCAGATCACATTGTCGAAGCAAGAATAATTAATGGGACACGTGAAGGAACCAAAGTTCTTATCCCCCGAATGTCTCTCACTCCCTCTGATACGAGATTTCCCTTTAAGTTCCAGCGTAAAAAATTCCCGTTAATGCTTGCATATGCCATGACTATCAACAAAAGTCCATGCCAAACACTAACTCACGTTGGGTTATTGCTAAAAAACTGGTCTTTAATCACAGACAATTATACGTGGCTTTCTCCTGAGTCACCCACCCTGATGGCCTGAAGGTGTTAGCTCTAGACGAGGATGAACAAGATTGTGGTGCGACTACCAAAAGATTTTTAATAATGTGTAAATACAATCGATAATATTATGTTTTTTTTTTTTTTTTCAAAATGTCAAAATGTCTATATATCTAGACAACAATATATCCTCTATACAAATGAATTAGGATAGCAATTGATTACTATAACTAAATTGCTAGGGAACGAGCACATTTGCCCAATTTATAAAAATCCTAAACAATGATAAATAAAATCTCTAAAGTTACAGCACGCATGCGTACATCTACACATTAGCTATTAATTTGAGCAATTATTTGCTCGAATTCAAACAATAATATAACATCAACAAACATAAACGATACAAACCATATCTTCAATTGCACTATATAATATTTGATGTTATAATTTAAATAATTGTATATCAATCCGAATATTCTTAATATATTATAACAAATCCATTCCGTGCATCGCAAGGATGAAAATACTAGTTAAAAACTAAATAGGAAACACGATAGCAGACATTAAACAAAAATTAAATATTTTCTAGGCACAAGTGCCAAATAGGCCCATCTACTACTTCGAAGTGCTCAATTCCCCCCATCAACTAAAACATAATCTAATTGGACACACTTACCTCTAAAAATTTGTCGATTAGCTTTTTTTGCAGGTTACCTCCAGGTTGCCACTCCACACTGCTGACATGTAATTTTATTTAAATAAAAATGGTGATGATGTAGAATTTACTTCCTAATCTCCCGCGAGAACCCTAGTCCAATGTGTGAAATAATTTCCGTTCTTCAGTTCTTCATAATCTCCGTTCTTAATAATTTCCGTTCTTCGCACATCTTCTCTGATCCTATGTAGAGCAGCCTGTGCTTGACCATTTTCACTAATCTCAGCAGCAGAATGACTCACAAATGAAGAATTAACATTTTGCATAGAGCTTTGAGATGAAAGTAAGTTATTTTTAGTTCGCATGAAGTGGGATAGAGGGATTAGAGGACGTAAGCCATATCCTTGAGAAGAGCAAATTGTAAGCTGTAAGCATATAGCTGAGTTTGTCTGGGCAACTAAAAATTTAAAAATTTATTCAACACTACAAGTTGCGAAGATGTGCGAGAAGAACGGAAATTATGAAGAACTGAAGAACGGAAATTATTTCGCAAGTTGAACTAGGGTTCTCGCTGGAGATTAAGAAGTAAATTCCACATTATCATCATTTTTATTTAAATAAAATTACATGTTAGCAGTGTGGAGTGGCAACCTGGAGGTAACCTGCAAAAAAAAACTAATCGACAAATTTTTAGAGGTAACTGTGTGCAATTAGATTACGTTTTAGTTGATTGGGAAATTGAGCACTTCGAAGTAGTAGATGAGCCTATTTGACACTTGTGACTATTTTCTATTAATTAACCAACAAATATAATTGGTCAATAACAATAAGTTCAGAAAATTAATATTTATGTATAACCAATACCATATAAAAATTAATTAAAAAACACAGTTAGAACTTAGAAGATGCAAATTCCTCTTTTTCAATTATTTTTAAATTTTTCTTTAAAATAATTACGATAAATATGAATTTACTATATGAGTAAGTGTGTCAGATAAATATCAACAAATAAAAGGAAATCAAAAGAGTTAGGATTACCCATTTGACATGGTTTGTAAATCCCATCCAGACAACTTAGCAGCTGCAGTGAGTGCATCTTCCATTCATTAACTTTTTGATCTCCAAATCGTTGTCTATGCAGACTCAATGCATCACCAAAAGTGCTTGTTTGTTTGCGAACTTCGGAAGGATCAACATTGTAAAATATGGGAAAAATAATATGATTCAATTTTTGTTTACATTCCATGATCTTCACAAGCTCATCTAGACACCACCGGGATCTAGCATAGTCTTTGGAGAATACGATGATGGATATCTTCGATTCCTCTATGGCCCTAGACAGCTCAACAGAAATATCCTCGCCTCTCCGAATCAATTCATCATCTCGAAAGGTGTTAACTCCAGCCCGCCTCAAATCTGCATAGAGATGATCGGAAAATGATCCTCGTGTCTCCCCCCTAAAACTCAAGAAAACATCATACGTCATGCGAGCATATGATGAAGATGATGCCATACTTGAAATCCGAGTATACTATCTGTCTGGATTTTCTAGCAGAGCTTGCCTTTGGAGCTATGAACTAAAGATTTATGTTAAAGAGCTTTGAGAACGCCTGTATATGTAGCAGATAAGCACCGATGACTTAGACATTTCAAAGTGAAATGCCTACCAATGATTGTTAAAACCAAAGGAAATTTCCTACTTTATATTATCAAATTCAAAATATATTTCATGTAAGCTAATAATTTTCTTTTTTAGTATTACTGAACTTTCATTTGGGAGAGACAGTTCGTGCCACTAGACCACTAGGTCATTAGAATATAAGCTAATAATTTACTTAGACATACTCCCGTTGTATCTAATTTAAAAACATAATAAGTCTGTTATATATTTGATTTATGTCCATTTCTTTTCTGTTATTTTTATACATTATGCTATAAAAGTTGTACTATACAATTTTTTGAACAAAAAATATCCTTACTGTTATAACATTTGTTATCTTTTCTATTATTATTATTACCATGCACATTTTGATATACATACAAAATATATTTTCTTATATTCTTCAGTTGTAATAATGTATGTAGTCATTATATAGTGGAATAATATAAGAAATGATTTGTGTTGAGATTAATAAGAACAAGAAAAATAATAATGGCTGAAAGTAAAGAAGACAAGATTTACGTGGTTCGGCAATGTGCCTACATCCACAGGAGTGAAAGTATTCTCTTTATTATTTGTGATGGTGATACAGGTGATGAGATACATTCAATATATTTATAGGCATATAATCTCCCTTTCACTCTTATTCCTTATATGAGACAAACTCATATTCCTAATCCTTATATGAGACAAACACAACAAATCTCCACCTTGGCGAATATGCTCTCTAGGAGAAAAGATAACTCAACAAATCTCCACCTTAGCGAATATGCCCTTTAGGAGAAAACACTTATCTAACCATCTCCACCTTCGCAAATAAGCCCTTTAGGAGAAAAAACTCATCTCATAGTCTCCCTGGATTAGGACCACCATGTTCATTTAATATCTGGAAACACACAACAAGTCCAAACAATGTTTGAACTTGTCACTAGTAACTGCCTTTGTCAACATGTCTGCTGCATTCTCACTTATATGAATTTTCTGCAACAAAATCTCACCAGAAACAACCAATTCTCTAACCTTATGAAACCTTACATCAATATGTTTGGTTCTGGCATGGTACACTTGATTTTTAGCTAAGAAGATGGCACTTTGATTGTCACAGTGTAATTAAACTCCATCTTGCTCAATACCCAACTCCTTAATCAAACCTGAAAGCCACAAAGCCTCTTTAGCTGCCTTAGTCACAACCATGTATTCTGCTTCAGTTGTAGACAAAGCTACAATAGACTGAACTGATGATCTCCAGCAAACAGGACCACCCCCAAAAGTAAAAACATACCCTGTTGTAGAACGTCTATTATCCATGTCACCAGCATAATCAGAATCCACATATCCCATGAGTACATGCTCATTCTGTTGACTCCCAAATACAATACCATGCCCCATAGTGCCCCTTAAGTACCGGAGAATCCATTTAACTGCCTCCCAATGCTGCTTCCCAGGTTTAGACATGTACTTACTAACTTGACTAACAGCATGAGCCAAATCAGGTCGAGTACAAACCATAGCATACATTAAACAGCCAACTGCACTAGCATAAGGAACCTTTGCCATATTTTCAATCTCACTAACTGTTTGAGGACACTAACTGGATGAGAGTTTAAAATGATTAGCCAAAGGGGTACTAACCGGTTTAGACTTACTCAACCCAAACCTGTCAAGAATTTTCTCTATATAAATTTGTTGAGTTAGCCACAACTTTCTTGCACCTCTATCCCTGTGAATTTCCATGCCAAGAATTTTCTGTGCAACTCCTAAGTCTTTTATATCAAATTCCTGACCCAACAAAACTTTCTCAATGCAGTAATATCATTCATACTCTTAGCAGCAATCAACATATCATCCACATACAGTAATAGAAAAATAAAAGAACCATCACCAAGGCTTTTAACATAGACACAACAATCATACTCACAACGTGTATAGCCAATTTGAATCATGTAAGCATCGAACCGCTTGTACCACTGTCGTGGAGCCTGTTTCAGCCCATACAAAGACCTCTTGAGTCGACAAACCAGATGCTCACCTCCGGGTTTAACAAACCCTTCAGGTTGCTTCATGTAAATTTGCTCATTTAGATCACCATGTAAAAAAGCAGTTTTCACATCCATTTGTTCCAAATGCAAATCCCAAATGGCTACCAAAGCAAGTACTAATCTGATAGAAGTATGTCTAACAACAGGAGAGAAAACCTCATCATAATCTATCCCCTTTTGTTGAGAAAACCCCTTCGCAACCAACCTAGCCTTAAACCTTTCCCCTTCTTTTTCTGATACTGGTGGCTTCTTCCTATAGAGCCACTTGAACCCTATAGCCTTATTTCCTTGAGGAAGTTGAGCTAACTCCCAAGTATGATTCTGATGTAAAGACTCCATCTCCTCAATCATACCTGTCATCCATTTATCTTTCTCCTGGCTAGAAATAGCCTCTTGAAAGGTAACTGGATCATTATTAGAAACAAGAAGTGCAAAAGAAACCATATCCTCAAACCCATACCTACTAGGTGGTTTGACATTGGTGCGTCTCGGTCTATCTCTAGCCAAATTGTAATCTTGTAAATTTTCTGAACTCGAACCTCCTACAGATGTAGAATCTGCAACTTCTTGAGTCTCAATCATAGGTGGATTAACTACTTTCTCACTCAAAGGTACACGATCCATATCCACTTCTACTGTGCTAGAACCATCAACTAGTGTATCTTCTTTCTTTGGCTGGAGCATGAAATTCTCATCAAACACTGCATCTCTGCTAATCACCACCTTTTTGGTTGCAGGATCCCAAAACTTATATCCTTTTACACCTTTCTTGTAACCCAGAAAGATGCACTTCTTCAACTTGGGATCTAACTTTGATCTTTCATCACCTGGAATAAGAACATAGCTAGGACAACCAAAAACTCGTAAGTGATCAAAACATACAGGATTACCTAACAAAACCTCCTCAGGAACCTTGCCACCAAGTGATGTCCGATGTGATCTATTGATCAAGTAACATGCCATGTTCACTGCTTCTGCCCAAAAACACTTAGAGAGCCCAGCATTCAATTTGAGACACCTTGCTCTCTCAGCAATGGTTCTATTCAGCCGCTCAGCAACACCATTCTGTTGTGGTGTCTTACGTACTGTATAGTGCCTTTGAATTCCATGTTCTGCATAGAATTTTTGAAATTCTTTCTCAGTATATTCTGTCCCGTTGTCAGACCTCAGGTACTTGATTTTTCTTCCAGTCTGGTTCTCAACCTCAGCCACAACTTAAATTTCTCAAACACTTCAGATTTATATTTCAAGAAATACACCCAGACTTTCCTAGAAAAATCGTCAGTAAATGTAACATAATATCGAGAGCCACCCATTGAAGGTCCCCTGGTAGGTCCCCAAACATCAGAATGCACATAATCTAGAATTCCTTTAGTTTTATGCTGCCCAGTAGAAAAACTGACTCTAGTCTGTTTCCCAAGGACACAGAACTCACAGAGATCTAGCTTACAACATTTAACTCCTTTTAACAGATTCCTTTTGTGCAAATCAGACAAACCACGTTCACCAAGGTGACCCAAACGTAAATGCCACAACCTAGTAATATCATCACTAGACTCAACAGAATGTGCTCCACCTACAATAGTACTACCCAACAACCTATAAATGTTCCCTGTGGTCCTTTTCCCTTTCATTACAGTTAAAGCACCCTTACTAATTTTAATGGTTTCCTTATCACTCTCAGACTTATGAATAAAACCATTAGCATGCAAACTGCCAAGAGAAATCAGGTTCTTAGTTAATCCCGGTATATGTCTAACATCATGCAAAGTTCTGACAATACCATCATACATCTGGATGTTAACATCACCAATACCTATAATATTATGACATCTATCATCACCCAGAAAAACAGAACCGAAAGTACCTAACTTATAGGTTGTGAACCACTCCCTGTTAGGTGTAATATGATAAGAGCATCTTGAGTCTAGAATCCATGCATCTGACAACTTACTCGATGAAACTGCTAGAACATCACCTTCACTATAATCTGAGTCATCAGCATGCACCACGTTCGCCGCCTCTTGTTGTTTTTTTCAACTTTGGACAATCTCTCCCTATGTGCCCAATCTCATTACACTTGTAGCACCGGATTTTCCTGCTATTCCTGGACTTAGACCTAGAGTTTCTCCTCCCAGAATTACCCTTTTCTTGCTTCCTTCCACGATCCTGACCCTCTTTAGCATACAAACTTTCACCAACAGACGATCCATCTCCTACACTCTGCACGCGCTTATTACGAGCCTGCAGGGCCGCAGAGATCTCGCTGTATTTGATCGTGCTTTTCCCGTATGTTAGAGTAGTCACCAGATGTTCAAAGGAAAAAGGTAATGAACATAGCAAGATCATCGCCTTGTCTTCATCTTCAATCTTGACATCAAGCCTGGCCAGATCTGAGATTATTTGGTTGAAGACATTAATATGATGAACTAAGTCTGAACCCTCCTGCATTTAAGCCCATAAAGCCTTTGCTTTAGATACAGTTTGTTCGTTAGAGATTTTTCCATGAACTAAGTTTCCAATTTATCCCAAATTTCTTTTGGGGCTTCCAGGGCCATAACGTGATACACAATTCCATCGTCCAGGCATAACCGAATGGTTCCTGCTGCACGCTCCTTCAAATCCTCCCAATCATTCTCTTCCAGATTAGCTGTCTTTTCCGCCTTCAAAGTTTTGAGAAGACCCTGTTGTGCCAACAAATCTTTTACTCTAGACTGCCATAACCCAAAATTCCCTGTACCATCAAATTTTGATACCTCAAATTTTGTACTTGAACTTGTCATCTCAACAGTGCTCTGATACCAATTTGTTGAGATTAATAAGAACAAGAAAAAATAATAATGACTTAAAGTAAAGAAGACAAGATTTACGTGGTTCGACAATGTGCCTACATCCACGGGAGTGAAAGTATTCTCTTTATTATTTGTGATGGTGATACATGTGATGAGATACATTCAATATATTTATAGGCATGTAATCTCCCTTTCACTCTTATTCCTTATTTGAGACAAACTCATATTCCTAATCCTTATATGGAGACAAACACAACAATTTTATTAACATTTTAATTAAATATTACCATAATTATCTTACTTATCATATTTAAATGTTACAATAACTGACATTATCTGATTATCTCCTCCTACTCGCCCACTAATCCACTCTCCACACAACAATTTTAAACATCAAATTAATTAAACAAATAGAATGAATCAAATTCTGCACGACCTTGTGGCACAACAATCCAATATGAGAGACAAGAGGCAAGCTATAAGAAATATTTTTTTATAAAAAAAATCAAAATTAAAACCTTATGTATAATTTATCAAATTTTTGACTTAATCAGTCAATTAACAAAAATACAGAACTATATTGGATAAACAGATGTAATAGTGAGAAAACTTTTCAGCATAACAATCCAATTGAAGCGATAATTAAGAGGCCGGCAATAAGATTTTTTTTTTTTTAAAAGAAAACTTGAAATTAAAACCCTTATGGTAAGACTTTCCCGTATAATATATACTAGTAATTCACCCGCGCGATGCACGGAAAAAAATTATGTTATTATAAATATAAATAAAAAATAGAAAAACTAAAAATTTTAAATTATTTAATATAATAATATTTTTGAGCTTCCATTGGTCAAGTATTTATTATTTTTATAGAATACAAAATTACAATTAAAATTAAAATTAAAATTAAAATTATAATTTTGTATGGTTAATATAATCTCTAATTATGTGCATATTCAAATAAACTTATAGAGATAATTTACATAATTACATTGATTTATTCTTAATTGTATTTCATCTATATTATAATTTTCACAATACAAATAATAACTAAGATAATTACATTTGGAAAGCAAATTTCAAATTTTGTATGTGTAAATTTAAACTCTAATTGAACACATTTATGATTATATAATATATAGCTATTTTATTTTTCAAAAGTATATTTTTTATATGATTATATAATATATAGCTATTTTATTTTTTAAATATTGTGCTTTTTTTTTATATATATATATAATAAATGATGTTGTGGCATTAATTGTAATATTAATTATTTCTCAAACCATATAGCTTTATTATATAAAGGATTATATATTATGAGTCTTAATTATGTGGTGGAAGTGGACTAGACCCATTAAGTATTTTGGTTGGACTGGACATCTAAGTTTAGTCTATATTCCACCATTATGGTTATATAAAGCTTGTATTGATGGGATATTGGATATTTATTATATAGCACCTAAAGTTGTGGTATTCATATACTGCTCAGAAAATATTAATTCACCATCTCGGTTAACGTTATTCTGTAGGCCTACCGTTTAAGAGGCAACACAACAAGATATCAGCCCGTTTAAGAGACAACACAACAAGATATCAGCTATGACGGGAGATCAACACGAATTCCACTCCCAATATTATGAGATTAGACTATATTTAGATCTAATACTTATAACTATGAATATTGCATATCCATTAACAAAAAATTACATAACTATATTCGATAAACATCTTTTAAGTTCTTTCATATAGGAATACACATGCACACATATTAAGAAATAAATTTAGGAGGGGGATTGATACTCAACAATTTCAATGCCAAATTAATTAAACATATGCAATATCTAAAACATTTCAAATTTACATCACATATTCTCTTTACTTTAAAGTAAAAAAAGTATGTCACTCTCATAATGAGTTAAATTATATATATTTTTTTTATTACGAGATAATGATATACTTTATATTTAATAGCACGCAACAACACTATACATGGATGAAAATTCATCTATAATAAACAATACAATAATTAATGTTATCTCCTCCAACTAACCACTTTCCAGACAAAAAATTTCAACGTCAAAATAATTAAAGAAATGCAATGAGGAAAATTCTAGCCAACCTTCTGGCACAACAATCCAAACTAAGCATGCAAGAGGCTAATTGAATATTCTGGGAATAACTCAGATCAATTAGTCAATCAATTCAAAATAAATTAAAAAATTATACTTTTTCTAGCAGACACAAAATTCTGAGATCAATTAAAACGCATTTTGTGATTTATCTTAACTATTTATTAGTCTCCACCCGTCTTAGCTTTTAAGGCAAGAATTAGAAAATTCCTAATTGACCGACCTTTTAACACAACAATCCAATCAAAATGATAAGGAGCGCACTATACCAATTATTAATTAATAAGCAGATGCAATAGATAAGGAAATTTATGGCCGACGTTTTGGCACAATGCAAATTATATCATGAATGATGGTTCACTATACATATTGTGAACCTTGGTCTAAATTATATACTTACAGTAAATATATTATGTATCTTCAATTAACATATTTGCGGAGGTATATAATAATAGGTTAATTACAAGTAGATAATAAGTGAACTGTAAAGATTGTCGGCACAACATTCCATTCCAAGCAGTCGGAGGTTGAATATACAATTAATTAGAAAAAAATAATAATATTACAGTCAGTTATATAACTACTAATAATTTTATCCTTTTTAACTATTATTTAAAAATTTTGTTATAATGTGGTATAGTTTATAATTGCTTTTTCAATCTATTGCACTCATAGAAAACTCAAACCCATAATCTCTTATTTAAGAAAGCAACTTCATACAATTACTAGACCAATTGGCACTATTAATTTTCTCCATCACATCTAATCCATCATAAAGTTTTCCGAAGTAATAGACATTCTCATCAAATGAGAGATCTTGGGACTTATATAGATATTCTTGAACGTAAGGTAGAATTTGATCGAGGTATTTGTAAATAGGGAAATTCTATTCACACCCCCTTTTTTACTATTTGCATCACCTACATAATAGGTCAAACCACTTTATAGGTGGTGCTAACTAAAAAATGCTATTTACACCCCATCATTTAATGTGGTCAAAAGACTAATATTTATATATATATATATATATATATATATATATATATATATATATATATATATATATATATATATATATATTTATATTTATATTTACAATCAAATTATTAATTAAAAAAAAAAAAACCAAAACCAAACTAGGCGTCACCTTCTCCGGTGAGAAGGCAGCCCAGTGGGTCGCCTTCTCACCGGAGAAGGCGACCCAGGTAGAAACTACCTAGGTTGCCTTCTCCGGTGAGGTAGAAACTACCTGGGTTGCCTTCTCCGGTGAGAAGGCACGGGAGAAGGTGACGGGACTTTTTTTTTTTTTTTTTTTTTAATGTCTAATTATTCTATTTTATAAGTTTTTATTTTCAACAAAAAAAAAAATTGTTTCTATTTTCAATGTATCTTTTTCTTCAATATATTTTTTAAATTTTCTATTTTCAATACTTGTTTTTGTTTATGGTTTAATTTTTAAATAAAAAAATAATAATTAATTTTATTATTTTAATATTCTTTAGAATTAAAACTTGTTGTATATTTTTTTTTATCTTTATTATAAACATATAATAATATTAAATTTGAATCGCTAAAAATGTAAAATACATTAACATCACAATAAAAAAACTAAAAAACAGATTCATTCAATTTCAATCTAATATAACATTTTCCCGAGTACAATTAGAGCGTACTGTGGGAGAGTGAATGGAATGAATGTTATTGAGAAAGAACAGAAAGAATAAATAGGGAGTGAACCCACAGAAGAAGGAACCAACACCCAAGACCAAAAGACTAGGTAACAGACTAACAAACTCATACTCAGTCTAAGCCTCAACACGCCCCCGCAAGATGGGCGCACCATCGGTGAGACCAATCTTGGACCTGAAAACAGAAAATAAGTGTCGACCAAGCGGCTTCGTTAATAGATCAGCCACTTGTTCTGACGACCGCACATAACGCACTCGCAGCGAGCCAGACACAACCTGCTCACGAACAAAAAAGTAATCCAGCGCCAAATGCTTCATCCGTGAGTGAAAGACGGGATTCTTGCAGACATAAGTAGCACTCATATTATCAGTGACCAAGGCCGGGGAAGATGGCAACCGGATCCCAAGTTCACGCAATAAATTCTGAATCCACATAACCTCAGCAGCGGCATTAGCAAGAGCACGAAACTCGACCTCCGTGGAAGACCGAGACACACAACGTTGCTTCACAGACCTCCAGGATACAACATTCGGCCCAAAATAAACAACATAGGCCGTGGTTGAGCGACCCCCATCTCGAGCGCCTCCCCAATCTGAATCAGAGTAGGCCACCAGGGACAACGAATGACCCCCACGAAAGTGCAAACCATAATGTAGGGTCCCCTTTAAGTAGCGGAGAACGCGCTTCACAGACTGCCATTGTAGCTCAGTAGGTGCAGCCATATACTGAGCCAAATGATTAACAGCGAACGAAATTTCTGGCCTGGTGATAGCCAAGTACTGTAACCGACCAATCGCCTGCCGATAAATAGTAGCATCAAACGCAAGAGAGGTTGCAGCATGCAAGTCCAAAGTCATGTTCATCGGTGTTGCTACTTCTTTCACCCCCGTCATACCAAATTGATCTAGAGTATCAGCTACATACTGGGATTGCGAAAGAAACAAGCCACCAGCAGAAGGAACCACCTCAACACCCAAGAAGTGATGAAGCGAACCCAATTCTTTCAGCGCAAAGCGATGGCCAAGACGACGCACAAACGCGTCAATGAACCCATCATTATTCCCTGTCAGAATGATATCGTCAACGTAAACTAAAAAAATACACAATTACATCTCGAGTACAATAAACAAACAAAGACGAATCTGCTACAGACTTCTTAAAACCAAAAGACACAAGAAACTTCGACAATTCCAAATACCAAGCCCGCGGAGCTTGTTTCAGGCCATAGATTGCCTTTCGCAGTTTGCAGACATAACCCGGGAGGTGTGGATCGACAAAACCAGCCGGCTGCTCCATATACACTTCTTCAAACAACGTGCCATTTAAGAAAGCATTGTTTACGTCCAACTGACGTAACGACCACCCTTTGGACAAAGAAATTGTGAGGATGACCCGGATAGTCACCGGTTTTACAACCGGACTAAACGTCTCAATTACAACCGACCACAGCATGACCAGGTCGCGGTACTAAGTCCCAAATCTCATTCCATACCAAGGCGTCAAACTCAGCAGTCATGGCAGCTACCCAGTCTGCACTTGTCAACGCCTGCGCCACTGAACGAGGTTCAACCGACAATGCCACAGGATGAACGGTAGCAACGTTCACCATTTTGTCGTTGAAATATTTCGGATTCGGACGGCGTTGGCGTGGTGGTCGACGATTCTCATGGGGCTGGGCGAGCATTGCTTGCTGAGATGCGGCCGAGACAGACCCTGCAACTTGTGAGCCACTAACCTCCGGTGTCGGACTCACGGCTAAAGGAACGGGAGCTGCAGGCATTGAGTCTGAGTCCGAGCCCTTAGGAGCTAACGCCGACGATTCAGACCCACTGACCGGAGTCGCTGTGCTCGGCTACGCTGCCGATACTGAGCCACCAGTCGGTTCATACATTGGCTGTCCGGAATTGGTTGATCTGGATGACGAGAGACTCTGACCTGCACTGGGAAGAGACAAAACAGGCAAAGGATCCATAGCAGAAACTAGTAGTGCTGGAAGAGTTAGTTCAACACACGCAGAGGCAGTTTGTGACACATTTCGTAGTTTAAGAAACGGAAACTCCTCAGACACAAATGAGACATGACGAGACAAATATACACGACCAGTTGACGGGTCCAGACACTTATACGCGGACTGATTCAGAGAATAACCCAAAAAGACACATGCCCGAGACTTGGGGTTTAGCTTACCAGGGAAGTATGGCTTCAACCAAGGGAAACAGAGACAACCAAAGGGATGGATTTTATAGAAGTTGGGCTTCTTATGAAACAACATTTCAAAAGGTGAGTAGTGTTGGAGTATAGGGGTAGGCATTCGGTTGATTAAATACACTGCCGTTTGAAAAGCGTATGACCAGTATGAAGATGGCATGGACGCAAAATGTAGCAATGCCATGCCACTCTCCACAATATGTCGGTGACGCCGCTCGACAGAACCGTTGTGTTCTGGGGTGTGAGGTGGGGACGTAAAATGTGAAATCCCAAGCTTATTGAACATTGGAATCAACTTCGTATACTCCCCACCGTTATCTGAAAACACAGAAACTATTTTATGCCCAAAATAATTCTCAACCATGGTTTTAAACTGGAAAAATACCCTATAGACATCTGATTTGAGAATGATCGAAAATAACCAAATATATTTTGTGTAATGATCTACGAAACTCACATAGTACTTAAACCCATCAACTGAGACAACTGGCGAACACCACACATCAGTGTAAATGAGTTCTAATGGCTTGGTGCTCGACATAGTATTAAAAGAAAAGGGTAGTTTGCGGCTTTTATTTATACTGCATGAAGTACATGAAAACATCTCAAGAGCGTGGCGATTATATGAAACATTATTACTGCGCAAGATACTCGAAAGGACTTTGTGGTTTGGATGCCCATATCTATGGTGCAACCCGGGAATTGAAGACTTGACACCAACATTGATTTGATGATGACGAGCAGGAAGGGTGTAAACATCATTCACGACCGGACCGCGCACCAGGGTTGTTGCCGACAGTCGATCCTTAACAAGGAAATAAGTGTCAAAAAATTCAACAGACACGGAGTTAGTTTTGCATAGCTTGGAAACAGAAATCAAATTTTTCTGAAGAGTTGGAACACACAACACTTCAGTTAGGGAAAGGGAGCGATTATTAAGAGGGAGTGAAACAGACCCTGTGTGTGAAATGTGGAGACTCTTACCATCACCTAGAACAATCTCATCCGGACCTGCGTAATCTGAAAACGACTGTAGGGACATAGGATCAGTGACCGTGTGATGTGATGCTCCTGAGCCCACGAACCAAGACTTGGACTGTGCCGGATTGGTCGCGGTGGAATTTGCCACGGGGAACTGCTGGCCTTGACTATGAGAGTCGAGAACAACAATATTGTTCTCTTTCAGAAATTTTGCGAGTTTGCGACAGTACTTCGCTTCATGTCCGGGATAATCACAAAAGTTGTAGTGCCGAGTTGGGCGATTACCATTAAAACGCCCTTGACCTTGCCTTCCATTCATACCGCCTCTACCGCGGCGATTGCTGGGTTGAAAATTTGACTCACCCGAATTGTTTGATCGCCGATGTGTCCAGTTTGCCGTAGGTACATGCACCTGAGTGGAAGTGTCATTGTCGTGCAACAGCCTTTCATAATATGTGAGAACATCATGCAGTTCCCCAAACGAGATACTACCTGTTCGTACACGAAGAGCAGCTACAATGGAATTAAACTCATCACCGAGCTGAGTGAATATATGCACCACCAGGTCCTCCTCATGAACCGGGCTTTGTGCGAGCGCTAAATCATCCGCAATTGACCGCATCTCACGCATGTATGTATCAACTGACCGGTTGCCTTTGGGGTTCTTAGCGAGTTTCGCTTTTAAGGAGACAATGCGGCTGCGGGAAGAGGTTGCGCACGTCGTGGAGAGTCGAGTCCAGGCGTCAGCCGCAGATGAGGCCGACGAAATTATGGGCTGTAGCACATCTGACAAACTGCCTATGAGTGCACTTAGGATGATATGATCCTGACGGTACCAGGCCATGTAGGCCGGATTAGACACCAGTTGTGCTGTGTCCGTGTACTTTGCCGGGGCTGGCTTCGTGCCATTAATGAAGCCAACGAGGTCTAGGCCGGTGAGGGTGGACTCTACTTGCTTTTTCCAAATGGGAAAGTTGGATGTGGTAAGTTTGATTGGGAGATGAGAAGGGGCATAAATCTGGATAATAGTGGTATGACTCTGATACCATGTGGGAGAGTGAATGGAATGAATGTTATTGAGAAAGAACAGAAAGAATAAATAGGGAGTGAACCCATAGAAGAAGGAATCAACACCCAAGACCAAAAGACTAGGTAACAGACTAACAAACTCATACTCAGTCTAAGCCTCAACACGTACATGCTCATTGTAACTTTCAATCCGATTCATATATGGAGTAATCCATGCATTTGCACAATCATATCTAAAATAAGCTCATTGTGGAGCAATAGTAGGCATTGGGTACCCTCCTGTCAATGTTACCTTAACATAATGGTTATTATTAACATAACCAAGGGCTATTGCTACATGCTCATACCAAGGTGGTGGGCTAGATCGGAGTGGTAAATATGTTGTACTGCCGGCCATACTCAAAACATGCAGTATCACATTGTATCGGGAAGCAATTAGTACACCCATCTCCGGCATAGTCATCCAGTGCTCAACTGGTGCACACCGATCTTGTGCAAAAAAATTCAACATGTTATAGACATTATACCATCCTTGAGTTCCAAACATATTGGTATATTCCATCTTGTGAGACTCTAGTTCTTCGATTAAATTGGATCGAATTTTGAACCATTCGTCCTCCTTAAAACCAAGACATAGAGCTACTGCTCGAAATCCACGATTTCCGTCAGATCTCACATCTTGCACTTGCATGATGAAAGGATGGAATATAATCGGGAGTTGAAAGATCCTATGCATATATATAAATCAATATGGAACTATGATTTGTGTATGAATTTTGTTTTACCGTTTCACCATTCGCATGCAACCTCGAGATTTAGGTTCACTTTATCTTCATCTTTATTTCTATTGTCATCATAAAGTTCGATTGCATTTTCGTCCTAAATAGACAAACAAATAACAACTCTTGATATATTAAAGCAATGAATTTTCTAATAAAATATAAATATACGTACTTAAATTTCTAAATAATATGTAAAAGCAATGAACTTAAATTTCTAAATAATATATAAAAGCAATGAACAAATATACGTAAGTTCAATTGTAACATTTCATTAACAATTCAAATAAAAAATTAAATTACCTCATAATGTTGTTGATTTTGATCATTGTAACTAAGAAATTATCTTTGATTTTGATCATTGTAGCTAAAAAAATCTTCAATCCAACCGTCAATAGCTTATAGATTGTATGAGACATATACATCACACAACCCCACATATATATAGAGTCATTTGAGTCCAATCTGTATTCCCTACCGTCCAAATTACCAATGGTTTCATCTCACGAAAATCAATATTAACTAAAAAATATGTATTGAAATTATAAACTTAAAAAAAATATGTATTCAAATTACAAACTTATAAAATCTATGTATTGAAATAAGATATTTAAAATAAAGAGGCGAAAGATAAAGAGGCAAAAAAAAGAAGACAAAGAGGTGATTAAAAAAAAAAAAAAAAAAAAAAAAAAAAAAAAAAAAAAAAACTCGTTAACGGGTCACCTTCTCGAGTGAGAAGGCAGCCCAGTGGGTCGCCTTCTCACCGGAGAAGGCAACCCACAGTGGGTTGCCTTCTCACCGGAGAAAGCAACCCAGGTAGAAATCTGCCTGGGTCGCCTTCTCTGGCGAGAAGGCGACCCACTGGGCTGCCTTCTCACCGGAGAAGGCAACCCAATTGCCTTCTCCGGTTTGAAGGCAGTGCCTTCTCTGGTGAGAAGGCAATGCCTTCTCATCGGAGAAGGTGAGTCTTTTTTTTTTTAATGTATTAATTAATTAAATTTTAAATTATCAAAGTATTAATTGCAAGTTTGACAAGGTGGTGCAAATAGCATTTTGACCACCCATTAGGCTATTTGCACCACCTATGTATTTATTGTAAGTTTTTAACTTTTTATATTTTCAATGTACTTTTTACCTTATTTTAGTCAAAGGGGGTGCAAATAACAACACCCTTGTAAATATTGTCGAAGTCTTTGCATGTGGATTAGCCAACCACGTAAGTCAATCTGTCAGACAAGTCTAGTAACAAACCAGTAAATATATGTTAGAGAAAATGTTTGTATTCTGTAATACATTTGAGATACAACAAAAAATACAAAATAAAATAAGGAAATAAAACTTGATCATTTGATATTTTCAGGTGTGTAATCACTTTCCTATAAGTTTTAAATTTTAATTTATAAAAGCAACAAGGTTCAAGATTTAATCTTATGAGATACAAGAAGATGAATGAAATTCTTCAAGTTGCTTTGTTTGAGAATTTCCTGTAGAAATGTAATACTGTGAAATATCTCAGTTTACTGCAAGTTTATTGTATGTGTTTCTTTCAGATGTTTCTCTAATGGCCCGTTTGGTTCACAGAATAGGTCGGGGATGGCATAGCATTCCTAGTAATAGGTCTATTCCTTTGTTTGGTAACCATTTCTATTACCAGGAATAATATTCTTGGTAATAGCCTATTACCTCAAATAAGGTAATAGCTATTACTACGGCCCCCCTGGTATTAGCCTATTACTGAACGCTCAGGAATAAATTTTAGAATCTATTTTCTTTTTTACCCCTTTCTTTAACCCATTTTTTTTATCCTATATACAAATTTATCCTATTTCACCACCGTCGTCACCACCACCATCGCCGCCGCCGCCACCACCACCACCACCATTACCACCCCAGCACCGCCGCCACCACCATCACCACCGCCACCACCACCATCACCACCGCCACCACCACCAGAACCACCACCCAGCAGCACCACCGCCACCATCGCCACAACCGTCGCCGCCCCCACCACCACTGCCACAACCTCACCGTCATCACCACCACCGTCACCCCCACCACTGCCACCGCCACCACCACCGCCACCACCATCGCCACCACCACCGCCACAACCACCACCACCATTGCCACCATCACATATTTTTTATAAGGGTATTTATGTCTTTTAAAACATATTTCATTTCTATTCCTTAAATCAACCAAACACTGTAATATAATTCCTAAAGTCTATTCCTTCTGCGAACCAAATAATAGAATACAATTTCTATTCTATTCCTTGCCTATTCCATTCCTTGCATATTCCATTCCTTATGGAATAGCATTCCTATTACCTCAAAATTCATTCCGTGAACCAAACGTGCTATAAAATATTTATAAATAATGTGACTGTTGGAGAAGTTACATGGAAGTTTCTGCAGTTTTAAAAACTCAACTTTCATAAAGTATATCTTAAATGATATATTTATCATGGGAGAAAATTAATTACGTAAATCATGTTCAACATGAATATATACGTAATTATGAACTTTTGTAAGGTTATGAACCGCATGCAAATAACTGTGTAAAAATAATATATATATATATATATATATATATATATATATATATATATATATATATATATATATATATATATAAATTTTATAGCACACTTTTCCATGAAAGTTTGGGAAAATTTGAAAGCTCACGTGATGTATATTCATTTTCCAACTCAAACAATTCCCCAATATTGGAGAATGAACAAAGGTCCAACTGAAACAATTCCTTAATGTTGGGGAGTGTTACCTCCTCCTTCTTTTTGGCTGTTCATGCAGCAGCGCGAAGATGATAATCCTCAGTCCTCGACCAACGAATCCAAGCTAACCACAGACGAGTAGCACAAGGTGTTAGCCAAGCTCGAAAGAAATTTACAACCCTGCAACAACTCTCCCAAACCTCTACTTCATGGACAGGAACCACACCACACAGGCGCAGGAGGTGTCAAAGGACAAAGACGAAAACTGGAAGAGGTGCGCGGTTTGCCTGGAAGATTTCGAGGTCAGGGAAGTGGTGACTCTCACTCCTAGCTTAGTAGCAGATTGACGGCGAGGCAACAAGATCCGGCGAACTTGATTTCTGCTCTGGCGGCTACATCAATGAACTCCAGTAGCGGCGATGGTCTCCGGTGGTGCAGTAGCATATCTAACGAGGCTCAGCAGCTCCTCTTGTCTTCTCGAGGCAGATCCAACGGCGGTGGCATCAGCTGATCCGTCTTGACATGGCAAAACTCTTCGCTTCTCGAAGCTTCTCGAAACATCTTCTACGACTCCATCGTCAAAGCCACACAGCCTGGCCATCGAATCCAAATCATCGTCCTAGATTTTCCAGTCGCCAGGCTGGCTTGCCGGAAGCTTGCAAGCAGCTAGATCTAGCAATGGACGATGCGGTCCCGAATTTCCAAGCAACTTGTGCCGATTGTGCGATGCTTCAGGAACCCGGAACAGCTATGGCAGCACGCCGACCGGATTGACTACGAAGAATTAAACCTTTAATAAATAAAATATATGAAATTACCTTTTTATCCTTAAATTTAACAACTTGTGGATGAAATTTTAACCGAGGACTAAAATGGTTAAGATTTTCAAAGTCGAAAACTTAATTGGGTAAGAAAAATTATCGATGACCAAATTGGTAATTACGCAATAGTCGAGGGACCATTTCGGTAATAAACTCTATTTAAAATACAACACAATATCCACAATACTTAAACCGGAATTGTTGCAATTCATTTGCCATACAATGACTCATGGTGAACTCATGGAGAGCAGCGATGGAGGACGAACAACAAATTGGGCGTCGGCGTTGCCTGAAAGGAAAGAACACAGAAGCATCCTAACCGGGAAATCTTTGGCAAGTACTCTAATAATGAGTACTTAATACCCTTCCTCATGAGTTAAGAATTAGTGTTTGGGGTTTAGAGTTTAGGGTTTGGGATTTAGGCTTAGGATTTAGGATTTAAAGTTTAGGGTTTAGGGTTTAGGATTTAGAGTTTAAGGATTAAGATTGGAGGAGGCATGGATTAGGGTTTAAGTTTAGGGTTTCAGGGTTTTAGGGTTTAGGGTTTAAGGTTGGGGGTTGGGGATTGGGGATTGGAGTTAGAGGTTAGGGTTTTAGGGTTTAGGGTTATTATTTTTTTTTTAATAAAAGAACTATTTTATTCATACTAAAAAAGAGACAAAAACAGTTTTTTGCGTTTGTTGTAATTTTTATTGCGTCTATGTACAACAAACGCAAATACAGTAGACGTAGATTGGTAGTGCAGTCTGCGTCGGTTGTAAAAAGGGCGCAGATTGTACTTGATTTAGAATTGTGAACAACATTAGAACTTCCTTCCTGTATAAACTCCATTTGCAAAAAAAAAAAAAAAAAGAAGTTTCTTTTTAAAAAAAAAAAAAACAAAAAAACAAAAAACCTCTCTAAAATACTCTGAAAAAGAAATGCTTCATACAAACACACTGTAACACCCCGTGTTACGACCCCTAAAACCAATTAATCATTTAACCAATTACCCAAAAGAAAGAATTAAATTACAGTAATTAATTAGGAAAAGGCCCACCATAGTTCGTGGGCCCTCACCTCTAAAAACCCAGCCCTAGCCCTAAAAGGAATAGAGTTAGCAAGCCTATAGTAATTAGACCATAATTAGGACTCTTAGGTATATAAATAGGGGACATAAGAGGCACCTAGAACCCACACCACAATAATCTCTCACCACACAAGGAGTTCCAAGAATTCCCCTAGGAGAAATCAAGAAAGAAGAAAGACTTAGAGAAAGACTCTTCATAGCCAAGGAAATCAATTAATGCTAAGAGGTAACCCATGTCTCAACAAAACCTATTTTCTTAGCTATGATCTCCATCTTAGGCATCCCCCTATATTCTTGTGTCTTGATGAATTGTTTATGATATTGATGATGTGATCTTGATAATTGGTGATATGGTTTTATCTTGATAATCTTGATGATGATAAGGGTTTCTTGATGACTGTGTGATATTCTTGAGGAATTCGGATTCTTGATGATTGTGTGATATTCTTGATGAATTGTATTGGTTCTTGATGTTAAAGGATGAATTACGTTCTTGATGATTTAAATATAATTAGAGCCCTAGGATGTATCGTGAAACTCGTGTGGTGTTATTCTTGATATATTGGGTGGGAATTCGCATGTTTGGGCGTTAATTGTATTTAGGAAGCATGATAGGGTACGTGCCGTACGTTTCTCGCTTTTGATCCGTTAATTGTCTACGTGGTGTCATCGATTGCGTTTAAAAGTGTCTAAGCATGGTTTCGGGTTCCACAATGGATCCCGGGGCGTTTATTGTGAAAGAGAGTCAGTGGGGGGTAGGTGGGGGTAGGGGACCCGCCACCTACTCGCGGCCAGAATTGACGTCGCCGGCAGCGGGCAGGCGACTGCCCGCCAGGCACCCGCTGCCCGGAGACTTGTCGCCGGCGGGTGACCCTTCACCCACCGGCTACCCGCTGGAAATAATCCCACCTCGGGATCCCGGCTTCCCCGTTTGATGTTCTCCCGACCCCCGTGGTGTCCCAACGGACTCTGTCTATCGTGCCTATGTCTAGTTTGGTGTTTCGGGTACCGTTCGTAGGATAAACGAGTCTTATATATTGCATGCTAGTTGAATTGGTATCCCGTTGACCTAGGTGAAAGAAGTATGAACCCCTTAGGATTATTCCTAGTATGTGAATGATCACGCATAGGTTTCATTATACGATTTCCCCCCCCCCCCCCCCCCCCCCCCTTCCCAATGTGTCAATGTGGGTTGCATGTACTTGTTATGTGTTACGTGTGCATGATACCCCAATCTGGTTGCGATCAAATTGGTTATTCCTGAGCTGTGGTTCAGAAGCTGGCTGCGGTCAGATTTACACTCTCGGGCTGCGGTCCACCGTTTGGTTGCGATCAAACGTTTTACATGAGTTGCGGTTCATATTCCTGGCTGCGGTCAGATGACTACTCTTGGGCTGCGGTCCACTGTTTGGTTGCGATCAAACACTATGATGAGCTGCGGTTCATCGGTCGGTTGCGATCGACCCCTTCGTGTTGCGATACGAGACAGGGTGCTGCGGGGCCGTGTCAGAGCTATATGCGCTGACCCTCATGTATGGGCATGCGATTGGTCCTGTGGCGCCATCAAAGTGTGCTATGTGATGAGATATGGATGGTTTGATGTTATGAATGTATGAAAGCGTGACCATAGGGTACATGCTAGTAAACTGTATATGCTTGGTTATGACTATTGGCTGTGCTTATCTCTATCTGTCGAGTCTGTTCCCTATGCTAGTGAATTGTATTTGCTTGGTTATGACTGTTAACTGTGCTTATCTCTGTCCGTCGAGTCTATTCCTTGTTTTTAAAGCTAGAGTCACTTAGGATATATCTTCATGCTTCAAAATGGTTTTTTTTCTTATATCTATATATATGCCTATATGTATTGTATTTCAACGCGTTGGAGTGGGTTACCAGCATCTCTCGCTGAACAGATATATTTGGCTTTTAGGCACTGACGAGTAGACACTGGAGCGCGCTAGAGATCCGAAGCGTAGAGTAGATAGTTTCCCTTTCGGCCTGCGTGCCATACTTATGTATTGATATTGTTGAGGATTTTAGTTAGTGAGCCTGTGCACCTGAGTTCTCCGGCTCAGATGTGGCCTAGCACCCCGTACTCTTTTATTATGTTTGGGATTCAATGAGAATTTACCTTTATTATATAAGTTTCAAAAGTTTATAAATTTCAGGGTGTTACACACACAATGTATACTAAACAGTCTATTGACCATAAAATAATCATACAGAGTAGTAGACTATTTTAATCTGTAAATGTCAAATCAATTTTTGGCGGAAAATATTGCCACGGTTTTTTTTTTCTTCAGTTTTGGTGATCCTATTGTACGGAGTACATATAACCACAAACTGATTTTTCTTTGAGATGTATAGAGTACATAAAAGAGTATAAAAAATACTCTTGTATAATCATCAAGTAAAAAAAATAAAATTACAGAAACACAAATTTGGTGCTCTATAATTTTAAGTTTACAGTTTCAAACAAAATTTATTTCATTTTAATTTACTCCTTTAAAAAAAAATAAAAAACCCTAGATTGAATGATAACTATGGATAATTTTACAAAGATTTTAATATTAAGAATCACTATTTGTAGGAAAACTCATAGATTGAGGGTAGAACACTAACCGTGGTATCAATTATGTAAAAGGATTGAAAGATTGCAAAACCCATTGCTCCAATTTCTTCACAAACTCCATATTCGTATGTTGAAGATGTATGTTGATCTCAATCTCTTCAAAATTAGGCAAAAAATATGTATTGTGGTGTAGATCTTCACTATAATTATGACAATGTAGATCTCAAAATCTCCATGGACAAAAGAATCTTTGAAGAAGAAATTAAACTTAGGTGAGAGATACTGAAGAAGAAACAGAGAGAGGAAAGAATGAGAGAATGAAAATGTGTGAGTTTCTGATGATGTTTTAGTGGATTTGTTTCTCCAAAAAGAAAATAGTTATCTGTATGTTTTAGTGGACTGCGTTGGTGAGTGGAAGGTGAGAGAAAAGATAGGGGCAAAATTGGAAAGCAAATTGTATTACTTTTGTTACCTTAAAATGCGTGCTAAAAGAGAATCAGACAAGGAAACCGGGACTGAGGGAGTAAGTAGTTAGTGGAAAATCAAAATGCAACTATTTAACTTACAACTAAAATGCAGAGTATTACATAGAATAATAAATTGTTTACTCATAAACCATTTACTAAAAATGGCAAGGAAGTCTATCCTGACATGAGAGTTAATATAAAAAAAACAAGACATAATATTCTTTACTTTTTTTTTTTTTTTTGGAAAAAGTGTCAAATTGGCCCCCTAAGTCGAGTTGATAGTGCAATTGGGTCCCCTAAGTGGAAAAAGCTCCATTCAGATCCCCTAAACTTGTAAAATTGTTCAATTAAGTCCAGGTTGACTTGTTTATCAGGTTAAATGCATACGGTGTTGACACGTGTTCTTAATTTTTTTTTTTTGAAAATATTATTTATTATAAATTAATTAAAATAATAATAATAATTTAAAAATTATTTTTTTATTAAAAATATTACTTATTATAAATTAATTAAAATAATAATAATTATTATTATATAAACAAAAAAAAAAAACAACCGTCGGCCATGGCCAACGAAAGAAAATGGCCATGTCCGTTTTCTAGATCTAGAAGACGGCCATGGCCATCTTCTTTTTCGTCGGCCATGGTCGTCTTCCTTAGACGACCACGACTATTTTTTTTTAAAATTATTATTATTATTATTATTTTAATTAATTTATAATAAATAATTTTTTAATAAAAAATAATTTTTTTAGTTATTATTATATTTTAATTAATTTATAATAAATAATATTTTTATAAAAAATAAAATAAGGACATGTGTCAGCACTGTATGCATTTAACATGATAAACAAGTCAACCTGGCCTTAATTGAACAATTTTACAGGTTTAGAGGACCTGAATGAAACTTTTTTCACTTAGGGGACCCAATTGCACTATCTACTCGACTTAGGGGGCCAATTTGACACTTTTTTTTTTAAAAGTTTTTTCCAAGTAAAAGCAAAGACCTGATAGTACTCCACCAAGCAAAGATAGATAAATTGTATGAAAAACGCACTTTTTTTTACCATATCCTGCTCTAAATTTCAGTACTTCACCAAGGTTTATAAAACCATTTTCATCTACATGTGTTGGCACAAACACTGATTAGAAACTCTTACTCATGTTTGGCTTGGAGAAAAATGAACATTGCTTTCGGTCCATTCACAAGCAATTGCTATATTTACCAGTTGCATAAATTTATCATCCATCACACTTCAAGCCAACTAATTGTCACAGAGATAAAGCAAAAGAAGATTCAAAAGAAAAAAAATCAATTAATTTCAAGAATATCTTATAGATTTCTTAGTAGCCAGAGATTAATCTTATATATTATGTCACACATCTCAAACATCCACTAGTACAAAATAGACCATTCGCGTCTGTTGTAAAATACTAAACGTGTATATTTTACAGCAGGTGCCTATGAACAAGATGCTAATGTCTAGACTTTATCCACAATAATCAATTCAATGCCTAACAAATTAACAATCCATCAATAATATAATATTTAAAATACAACACAATATCCACAATACTTAAACCGGAATAGTTGCAATTCATTCGCCATACAACAGTGACTCATGGTGAACTTCAGAATAAGTATGAAATACTTATAAATTGAATCCTCATGCAACAGTAAAGTACAAAAACTTTATCACACCTACCTTTATGAACTCATCATAAATGAACCTTTTACATTGAAGACTAGGATCCAATAACCGTGCTATTTGCCTTCGAACAAGAACTTCAAATGGTACCTTCATATTAAAAGGTTAACATGAAATTTAATGCCAACTGAAGTGAATATAATAAAAATCATGAACGGATAAGAATAGATACTCTGCTCTTTATTAATAGATAAAATAAAAAAATTTTAAGCAAGTGGATACTTGTGATTACTTCAGGTACAAACAATGTAGATTTAGGACCAGTTGCATTTTGTATGGCAGTTAGAATATCTTCATCAGTTAAATCTTCACAAAGATTCATGAGTGCACCCAACCCAGTCAAGCCCTTTTCAAACTAGAAATGTTCAGTTCGCATGTGAAAGCATACATAAACTGACCTTTAGGAGTGCCTGATGGCAAGAACTCCATTACTGCTATTAGCTACACAAACTCCCCCAAGAAGAAAAAACACTGTCTTTTACTTTGTTAGGGTAGGGTTTGTAGCCCAGATAGAATTCAATGGATATCCTAATGATAGAATGAAATATCTTTCTGCATAAAGATTTTGGTTTTACAAATCACAATGCAACACATTTAAAGAAAGAGCATTTGACTTGTTAGATCTGGTTTGGGCACTGTCCTCTAATTGCAGTAGATAGTTTGAATTAAGTATAATGATCTTCTTGAACAATTACGCTACAAATATCAGAGTCTAAAGGTGTAATTACAATGAATAGAAGAGACACATACATATGAATTAAAGTTGTAAGTCTAACCTCTCATCTGAAACACTGAGTGGAAAATCACCTCTGACAGTGTCGCTGCTCTCTCCTCGCATAAATGGCTTGTTCTGAAGGCGCCTCGCATAAATGGTTTTAGTTTTAAGTGGCCGAAATTTTAGCTACTTTTAGCATCTGTTGTGTTCAAACCAGTAGGGAAAAGGGCCTGCGTTTTTAAATTTGTACTTTTAGCCTCTGTTATGTGCATACAACAGATACTATTGTTGTTAAAAAGATTACAATTAGGCCACCGCACGTATTTTAGTCTCTTTTTCAAAGAACAAATGCAAATAGTATAATATTTATTGTCTAAGTTTGTACTAGTGTAAATTCCTCCATAGTTAAATATGATGCCAAGATGCACATACACAGACAGTAAAAATATCTTAGATTTGGAGTGAGAGACTCCTTTAAGAAAGAAAAATAGTAAAATGCTAAATTCAAATCACATCAAGAACAAATGTCTATAGAAAAGGTAAATACCTTCCACATAAGACAACCTTGATCATAAACACCGAATCCATCCATCTGCAGTTTGATTATTATATATATATATAGGTAAACAATGACCCTTACACTATCCCTATTTAGAAGACTCTTAGACTCACAGAACATGGAAGGAAGGAAGTTGAAACATATTCCACAAATAGAAACATAAATAGCAATAGATATAAAATAATACCACAAAAATACTTGTTATAGTAACTACCACAGTCATACATAGCTTCCATATTTATTTTGATAGGATGATAGTATGATACCTCATCAATAGAATGAATCTAATTGGTGTAACTGATTGTTTAATTGGTGTAATTCCTTAGTTCCGTATGTCAGTTCTGACTATAATTTTATCTACCTTGAGCATGATAACATTCAAAGAAGATCAATAATGATCTGGGGGTAACCCCAGTCAAGATGACAATAAAAATAAAAAGGATTACAGACTACCAGCCAAATATTAAACAAGAATATTAATCAGCTAGCCTGGAACAATGTTGAACATTCAAAAGTGATATAAGGAACCAACCTGATTATGGGGGTTTAAGAGAAGGATAGAGCCAACAGACTTTGAAACTTTACTTTCATCAACCTGCATATTCAACAATATTCTTATATGTTACAAAATCTATGGGGATGAATATTCTTGTAATTAACACTAAGAAAGTTCTGTTTTAAAAACGACCATTAACTAATAGAAAATACAAAGACCTTTTCAACTTCAGTCATAAAGTAATCATCTATTGAGTGAATTCTTGGGGCATTACCACCATTCTCAACCTCAAGGTCACAACATTTTTGCCAAATAGCTCTTTCCACTCCCTGAAAGAGTAACAAATTGCCGTAAACTCTCAATTGCAAGTCCTGAGCTAACATTATTGTGCAATAAGAACACAGAATGACAATGACCTAAAGTCCACTGGAATCTTCATACTTAACTACAAACTTTAATACAACATGAAGTTTATACATCAACAAAAATGGCCATGACCCAAAAGTTATTACTCAACAAGAAGCAACTAGAAAAGGTAAAATCTGCCAACTACTCACAAATATAAGTACTTAAAGGAGATAATATGAAGAATACAAGAAAAAGGATGCAGCAGTGAAAGAGACATAAGCATACCTGGAAGCCCTGGAAGGAGTACAACTATATGATCAGGCCGGGCAGATCTATGTGGATGCTTTAAAATGCGAGGCCGAGCAGCGATCTACAAGAAAATCACCGATCTTTGTATAAAATTAAACAACTCAGAATATAAAACTTTTAATTTTCATCAAGAAAAAAAAAAAAAAAGAGGGGGGGGGGGGGGGGGGGGGGGGGGGGGGTGGTAAATAATGGATTTACCTCTAAGTTGTTTTTGGAGAAGAAGGATGAGATTTTAGACAGAGACAACAGAGAAGTCGGCAACCCTTCCGGCTATTGTCGTCGTCGTCGCAGGGGAGGATGTCCGAAACAGAGAGAAATCAGAGTGAGAGCGGTGGAGAGAAAGTGTCGCCTAAAGATCTAAATAGCCCGACTGTCGCCGACTTTATCAGCAGAGAGCCGTTAAAGAGTTTTTAAATTTTTTTTTTTTTTTTTAAATTCCCATAGCCTAACATCTTTTTTTGTTTAATTTTTTAGATTTATTCCACTAGGACTAGGAACAGGTCCATCCAAATAACACAAAGAGTTAATTACCGATTTGGTCCTCCGACTATTGCGAAACTACCGATTTGGTCCTCAACTATATTTCTTACCAAATTAAGTCCTCAACTTTTCAATTTTTACCCGATTACGTCCTCTGTCCAATTGAATATGATGTCTCCGTCTAAACTAAGGATAAAGATGTAACTACACACACCTTCTTCTAAATTACCCATCTGGTCAGCCCCTAGGTAAACGCGATGTGCCGCACCGCTCTACTGGATGAACTTGTCCACAAATAGCTCATCCGACAGCATCGCCACCATCAGGCGATGTGTCTGGGTGGACACCAGCCCGAAACTCGACATCTTCCGGGCGCACCAGACCACGGCGTCGTTGTAGGAGTACACTATCCCCCCGGAACCAAGGGAACCCCAAATCCTTGGAAAGACTGTAGACGATATGAACGAGGTTGCAGTTGCAGTTAGGATTAGAGTAATCCACTTCTTCTTCCTGGATTATCTTGGCGATGCTGACGAATTCGGGCTGGGAAAGCACGGTGGACGCGTAGATTTCGTCGCATACTATGTGGATGTTTTTGTCGTTGTTGTAGGCTGTTTCTATTGCATCTCTAGTGATCTTGAAGTTGCTTGAACTATCGCAGATGACTGGGTACAGCTTCGCCCCTGTTCCCCATCCCCAATCTCCATTTTTTTTTTGGTTGTTGCCGTGTTTGGCCTGAAGATGGATAACAAGGTGCTGCTCCTCTTCAGTAAGGGATCCCTTTCTAATTCCTGGTTTTAGGTAGTTCTTCCACCTTTTCAAGCATGACTTAGCATCTCGGTTGAGTGGTGTGTTCATGCGCTGTGACACAAGGTGCCATTCTTTTGGCCCATACTGTTTCACATATGCACGCAATAAAGCATCCTCTCTTCTTCAGCTTGCCATTGTTGCTTCTACTTCATTTCTAGGTGCAAACATCACTGCCCATCAATTCATTTTTCATGTATAATATGCTCCCCATCTTCTCCGTCAAAGTCAACAAATGGCCCATCGAATTCCCCTTCATGGATAACAACTCCAGTTTCACCATCGTCCACGACAAATACACTTTTTTCGTTGACGGATGAGAACAAAGTTCCGCTGCAATTTGGACCATCGCAACGTCACCGCGGGATCTACAACATCGACGACACACCCAAGTTCATAATAGACTTCACCGGAAAAAGGCCGCGTCATCTTCCCGGTACCTGCCCAAGGCTCCGTGAAGATGCCGTCGTGGTGATGCGTATTCAACGGCGACACCTCCAACATGACCAAAGTGGAGGAGCAATTACAGTTTGCCTGCACCTTCTCCGATATCCTCAATCTCTGTTAAATATGCAATTCCATTCAACTAAGGTGTGTATTTACATGTTTATCCTTGATTTTGACGGAGAAATCACGGTCAATTGGACGGAGGACGAATCGGGTAAAAATTGAAAAGTTGAGGACTTAATTTGATAAGAAATGTAGTTGGGGACCAAATCGGTAGTTTCGCAATAGTCGGAGGACCAAATCGGTAATTAACTCTAACACAAATATAAGTTCTGCCCATCAAATTTTTACAATTTCTTTAGGCTAAAGTGTCATCCCGCACCCTGAACTATAACGGATTCTTCAAGCTGCACCCTAAACTTTCATATCATTCAACTAGATCCACTTACTAATTATTTTTTTCCATCTAGAACTTTTCACAGGTTACCTCCAGGTTACAGGTAATAATAGGCTGACATGGAATTTTTTTTTATTTTTTTTTATTTTTTTATTTTTTATTTATTTATTTATTTTTTTTTTTTTTTGCGTTCACGTCTTCCCCCCTCACCGTTTCTGGGTAATATGCTAATCTTGGCCTCAGTTTCTACTTCCTCGACTACGACGTCGATGACATCGGTGATTTCGTCATTGTCCGTGTTGATCCGCTCTTGACAAGTCTCTATTTCTGAAATCTCCAGAGCGGGGAATAAGCTCAACAAGGATCCGCTCTTGAACTGTGCCGGTATTGCGGCCATCGCCACTATGAAGATGCTTGAATTGACATGCAATCTGTCGGGCAAGTTCCAACCATATTACCGGCTTTGAAGAAAGACCGTAGTGGGCTCGACTCACCAAACTCCCTACCCTGCCGTAATTAAGAAGCGAGAATTTGCAAGGAAAGTTGCCGTGGGAATAATCAAATCGGACATAGTAGACATCCGCCACCTGTCTACGGACGTACTCCGCCGTGGAGACCATAGCTAAAGGAGCTAAAGGATATTGAGAAGGAAATCAGAAAAGAAGCAGATGAAACCATAGCTAAAGCAAAGGAGTGCCAAATGCCAGATCCTTCTGAACTCTTTTCCAATGTTTATGCCGAAGGGTTAGGAACTGAGGCTTTTGGAGCAGACAGGAAGGAACTGAAAGCAACACTCCCTTGATTCTACAAGTGCACCAATTGGCCACTATTTGAAGAGATAAAAGAGGGGTTTGAAGAATAACACCAACACATTAAAACAGTCAGTTTCCACATTCCCTTCCAATTTAGCCTTCCTGCCCATTTGATTTTTCACAGTTAGGTAGCTTGATTTTTTGATGATCTAAATAATGAATCGTCTGAATACCATTATATGGAGTGGCGCTATCTTGAGTTGCATTCCATTTGAGGATATGCAACGTATCAGCCGCCAGGCTGATATGCAGCCTGCATATATGTTTTCTTTCCCATTGTTCGTATCTTTGGACTCCTTTTTTGCAAAGATGTGAAAGTTGGCTGTGCCAACTTTGTATTTCAACTACTTTTCATTGTCATATCAATGATATCATAAAGCAATATTTGACAGTCAAAAAAAAAAAAACGTAGTGCAAGGAGACGGAAGGGAACAACAGGGGTTGCGGGTTCGTCGCCGACAATTCGAAGACGGGGAGGTTTAGCTGAAAAAGCACGTGAGTCTTGAATGCAAGATTTAGCTTTTAATAACTTTAATTTTATTTCAATTATACAGCTGGACTAGATGAAAACATACTCCAGATATAATAAAGAACACGAAATAAATAGTAGTAAAAGAAAGCATGCACCAGGATATGTTCACGCAGTTCGGAGCCTCACTCCTACGTCTGCGGGGCCACTCACATCAACCCAAATCCACTATGATAAAAACGGAGTACAAGAGGAGAGTTAATTACACACTAAAGTATAACCTATAACTACTCCAGAACCTACTCCAGTGGATCCGATGTGCAGGCGATCTTCATTGCTTCATGATCTGATTACAAGATCTTGTTCACACTCAACAGTACAGTATGTATTTGGTATAGATGCACCAAGATTTTCAGAGTAAAGCTTTGTGAAAGAGTGCATAAATGAATGCTAATTAAGGTAGCATTATATATAGGTTGTAAAGAATGTTTTGATCCTCAAAACATGCACTCTTCCCTTCCTTGAATTCGGCTGCTCCATTAGATTTAGATCTCCCCATTGATAGGATCTTGAATAAATACTTTGAAGAAGCTTCATACCTCCTGGATTACTTTCTTGCGCTGATCCAGTCAACTACTCCAGACGACGTGACTAATCCAGCAACTAATCCAGTACTACTTTGACAACTAATCTAAGCCAATAATAAAGAGGTTTAAATGTGCAATATATTTACACTTACAATCTCCCCCTTTGGCTATTAGTTGACAAAACCACTAAAAGATATCATCGGCTTTAATAAACAAAATAATTGCCAAATGAATAATCTATACAATTGAAAGCGGATTAGTCACTAGTCAAGAGTAGCTAGACACACACCCTCCTTAAACTTAACCAATGTTGTGCCAGAGAATTTCAAACACAATTAAAGCATACAAGCACATAGAAAATTAAAGCACAAAGAGACACAGAACACATAAATGTCACATAATATAGCTGCATAGCATTTATCACAGAGTCAAGGCAAAACACGCAGCACCTTAACACATAAAAAAGCAAAATAACGATAGAGCACACCACATTATTCACTGGCACTTATGGCTAAGTTCACAAAAAAACGTACTCCCCCTTACTACGTGCACTCCCCCTTTTTGTCAAGCTAATGGACAAAGAGCAGCATCAGGACTGAGTGGAGGAGGAGGAGGTCTCCAAGTCTTCATCATCACCAGCAGGAGAAGCACTCTCAAGAGAGGCAATATGGCGATTCGTGCGGAGCAGCTGAGCCTCGGCAGTAGAGATGGACGATTGAATGGCGAGAGAGGCATCCTTCATGGTAGCTATGTGTGAAGTAAGAAAAGTGACTTGCTGATGAAGAACGGCCAGTGTCGAAGCAGAATCAGTAGCAGAAGCAGTCGGTGTAGAGGCCTGGCCTGTCGCTGGAGGATCAGCTGGAGCATGGGCAGGTGGAACTGAGGAGAGAGTGGCCCGATCATCATAGTCTGACCTTTGGAAGATGCGAGAGTCCATAGAAGTCTTGTGAGTAACATGGTAGAGCTCTTCATTGGAATAGAGTTGAAGCCCTTGTTGTTGCAGAATCCCGGTGATAAGACATGGAAAAGGAAGATGAATCTTGGCTTCCTTCTTTTTAGCAAAACTCATGATGTGATGATAGATGAGGTGACCAAGATCAATAGGCAGTTGATGTCTGACTTTGTATAACAGAGAAGCCATCTTCTTAGTGACTGTGTGCACAGAAACATTTGGAATCCAGTTGCTAGAAGCTAGCCGAAACAGAACCGAGTACACTGCAGTAAGGACATTCGAAGGAAGGCCATCCTTTGGCCAGATATTGATCTCATTGTGGGTAAGATGTGATGCAAGAAAGTCACCAGCAGGATCAAAAAGATCATCACAAGCATCACGCTGA